GGAGATACTTAAAGAATTTTACTACTACACAGAGAGAAGGAAAACAGTCACAAACATAAGCTCTCAAGAAAGAATAAATCCTAAGAGTAGATGCTGCTACAGAAATTGGCTAAGGATCTCCCTGGTGAGGGGAGTTTTTCTTACAGTAGGAAGACGTAGACTTGAATAATGATGTCTCTGGAAGTGCCAAGGAAGCTGTTTGTTCACAGGTCTCACCATCCCAGGTCCACAGAGCAGAGCAGCTGTGGACTTGGGTGTGCATGCAGAGGAGCGTGACTGGAAGACTGGAGTGTGAGGGGAAGCGTGCTTGTGATGATGATCATGCAAAGATGTGATAGAGACACCTTATTAGGGGAGGGGTCCTTGAAAATCATACCATAGCCAGCTTTGGCAGTACGTGTCTTTAATCTCAGCACTTGAAAGGCAGTGGCAGGCAACCTGTGAGTTCAAGGAAAGAGCCAGAAAGAAAGAAGGGGGAGGGAAGGATGGAGGAAAAATGAGGGAGAAAGGGGCAAGAGAGAGAGAGAGAGAGAAAGAGAGAGAGAGAGAGAGAGAGAGAGAGAGAGAGAGAACCTTTTGATTGGGTAGCAGGAAAAGATGGATTAATGGATGCTCAGTTCAGAAACCACCAGATTCTTTTTGCCTCACTGAGGACTGTCTTGAAGAGATCAATCTAATAGAGAGTTCTAAAATCTAATCAACCTTTAAAAGAAAAACTGGAGGAAAGTGGCTGGAACTGGGAAAGCGGTGAGGCAACAGTTGCACTGTTTAATCAGCAGAAGGCATAAACCAAGACAGGAGAGAAAGGATCCCAACATTATTCAAATGTCCAAACTCAGTCTCTTCTGAAATTCAAGGTCAACTCCTAGCTGTGAACCCCTGTAAAATTAAAAGAAAAAAAGTTCTATTATTTCCAAGATAACACAGCACAGGGCAAATATTCCCATTCTAAGAGCAAGGAGTAAGAGAATAGCGAGAAAGGACGACCCAATGGCTATTCTTGGTTGTCAACTTGACTACATCTGGAAAGAACTACAATCCAGAAATGAGGGGCACACCTGTGAGATTTTTTTTTTGTTGTTGCTTGAAGTGTGTGAATCTACTTCTAGTTCACACCTTTGAAGTAGGAAGACACACACCTTTGATCCAGATGTTGATGTGGGGAGACATTGATTGGAACCATGCCTTCTGCTGGAAGCCTATGTAAGTACCTTTGCTTTCTATGTGCCCTTGTCTTGCCTGCATATCCATTTCTTCACTGGTATTAGAGCCTGTTTCCTTGGGATTCTAATATATACTATAGACCAGCAGAGACATTCAGCCTTGTAGACTGAGCAAGTACTGGATTCTTGGACCTTCAATTCACGGTCAGCCACTTGGATTAGCTGGACTGCAGCCTGTAAGTCATTCCAATAAATCCCTACCCCTTCTCTCTCTCTCTCTCTCCACACACACACACACACACACACACACACACACACACACACACACAGAGAGAGAGAGAGAGAGAGAGAGAGAGAGAGAGAGAGAGAGAGGGAGAGAGAGAGAGAGAGAGAGAGGAACTTACAGCATAAATCTGTGTGTGTGAGCAGAACAAAACTGGGACTGGGGGGCTAGATATAACCTTACAAGGCACCCCACTGACCTTCTCTTACTGGGCTTTACCTCCTCAAGTTTCCACCACCTCTCAAATAGCATCACCAGAAACACAGGCGTCTCTGGGGGATGTTTGATAATTCAAACCCTAACACAGCTCTATGACCTCCTATGGATTCCCCTTCCCGTCTCTTCAAGTCTGCAGTCCCTGTGCTTACCGACTTCCTCAGCACACTGCCTCCATCTGGTAACGCTCACTGTGTGCAGATAGACGAGCACCCTGAGACTGAGGACAGACACCCAGCAGTGTCCAGAAAGTAAGTGGTCATTGCAGTGGAGCATGGGGGATAAGCAGCACATGTCCCCAGGTCCCCCAAAGCAAGGGTAAGAGGGGGGTGTTTTCTTAAACACCTTCACTTTTATGAGAGTGCTGGAGAAGGGAAACAGCCTGGTGGAATTTAATGCCAGCTCCATAATTTACAAGCCAGAAGACTTGAGGAGATACTCAAGTTATTTTCAGGACTGTAAATGAAATAAGTGCCATGTCTACTTTCTCACTGAGTCTTCTTGGTGCCTTTATGTCCTAGACATGAGTTCTGGAAGGTATATGGCTGTGAAGGTTTTTCCAGTCTGCAAGCTGCCTCTTCAGTTAATTAGCAATGTCCTTAGCAGTAAAGAAACTTTTAATTTCATCAAGTTCCATTTATTGGTTGCTTACTTCCTGAATGACTAGGGTCCCATTCAGAAACTCCTAGGTTACCTGAGCCTATATATATCTTGAAGTACATTCCCTGCTCTTCTAGGTTTGGGTCTAACATTGAGATTTCTGATCCACTGTTTTGCTAATTGAACAGAGTTTCAAACTGCCCTCCAAATTTGTAGTTTTCTCCTTACAGATTAACGCAGCTCCCAGACCTCATCAGAGATGTTTCTTGGCTCAGTGGGTGGTGTCAAAGCAGGAACTCGGATCTAGTCAAATACAGAGGGTAAGAGCCAGTGAAGTATTCACCCACAAATGGAACGTCTTACACCCCTTCTCCAAAGCTTAGGGACCAATGCCAAAGAGATGGCATCGAGACTGTAAGAGGCAGGGGTCAGGGAAGACTAGGGGAACCCCGTCTTCTGGACAACACCCTGCACAGGATCAAGTCAGTTAACTTTCTAGCATGCAGTGGATAGGGGCTCATGAGCCACCACCCCTAACTGGGGAACTAACAGTTGCTGGCTTCTAGGGAGAGAAAGCCTTTTAAGGATGTAGTTCATAGAAGTTGACCACATTCTAATGGATAGTCCCACACCTGTGAGTACATGGGCATCACAAAACCAAAGTCATGTACTTGGGGAGGGGGGCAAAAGTTGGGGTGGATCTATGAGGAGTTAGGGGTGAACATGAAGTGCTAGAAAAAAATTACTATTTTCAAAATGAAATAAAACAGCTATACTTACCTGCCATCCCTGATCTCTTACAGCCAACTTGAAGTCTATCGCCATTACTTCCCCATCTGTCTCCTTAACTCAGGCCTCTCATCTGAGCAAACTTCAGCCATCACTTGCCCCCCCCCCCCCCCCCCCCCCGCTCTATCAGTCCCAGCTCAAGCTCTGTGCACTCTGGCTTTCTCAGGTGGGAAAGTCTTCCCATACTTTTCCTTTGTCCCTGGCATCATTATCAGTTTCCATCTTTTTTAAAGATGAGTTCTCAGTGTCATTCGGGCTGGACTTAGTCGGTCTTAGTCTCCTAAGTACGGCCGCGCCACCACCAAATCTTGATTTCACTTGGAAACCCAAAGATCTCAACACTACCATCAGGCGATGGCCTCAACTCTGACACCACCCTACAGGCTTGCTTCCTATGGCTATAGTTCTCTTTAAATCTAAGCAAAAACGGACCCATCAAATCTCAAGATTAGTTCCAGGACTCAGAAGAGCAGCAGGTGGGCTGAAATACAGCTCGATGGGGAGGCACTGACCAGCCCATGGGAAGTTCTGGGTTCAAAGCCCAGCAACACAGAGTAAAGCATCCTGAAGTAAAAAGCAAGTTTTAAGTCAGCCGTACAGCTGAAGAAATGAGCAGTTCACTGCTAAGCATAATTCCCTAGGCCACGGCAAGTCCAAAAGTAGAGCAAACATGAGTTCCTTGTTCATGTTGGTTATTTTTCAAACACCTTGAGCTCTTCTGGTGCTTTTGATCTCAAAAGGTTACTATTTTTAGGGAAGTGAGACTTTATTTATTTATTTATTTTGGTTTTTCAAGACAGGGTTTCTCGAAACTGGAACTAGCTCTTATAGACCAGGCAGGCCTTGAACTCCCAGAGATCCGCCTGCCTCTGCCTCTGAGTACTGGGATTAAAGACGTGCACCACCACCACCCAGCTTTTTTTTTGGGGGGGGGGGAGTGAGACTTTAGAATGTCTTAAACATATATTAATTACACATGCAAACGCACCTCCATGGAGTGCACGAGACTGGCTGTTTATTACTTCTTGCTTGGGACTTTGGTCCCATCCTTTATGTGCCCCACAGAATAGCTCAGCTTCCCTCAGTATCAAAGGATGAACCAAGCAGTGACAAGACCAGTTTACAAAAGCCTTGACTGCTCAGGACTGAGTATTTTCTGGTGATACTGGGGACTGAATCCAGCGGCTTCCACAAGCTAAGTCTCCGTATTAGTTACTTTTACATTTTGTTTTTAACTTTGGGCACAACATGAAATTGTTACTCTAGTTTCTGAAGTTGGTATAAGTCTGTGACGGTAGCACTGGAAACTGAGTAAGGAAAACCATTCATCTATCATCCCTGGGACACATAAAAGATGGGGGGGGGCGGGTTGAGAGAAATGGCTTTGGGTGAAATGACATAGAGCTGGGCTGCAACAATACCACTGTATCATACAACGTGTGGTTGGATTCCAAGCTTGAATAATATAGCTGAAGCCAATGTGGTTTTAACTTGTTAGGCTAGCCATAAAGATCGTGAATATCTCCCTAGAATCGTTGATACAAAATTGAAAACAGCATATTTAAGAAAGGGGAAACTGAGTGTGATGGCATATGTCCGTTATTCCTGTCCTTGGCTGGCAGAGACAGAAGGGACCATCCACGAAATCAAAGGCCATCTTAAGCTACAGTGTGTTCCACACCAGCCAGAGGCACCTGGTAAAATTTTGTCTCATAACAGTGAAGCTTAACTGGGCATGGTGGCTTAGATCCCTACAACCCCAGTGGCACGTGGGAGGTTGAGGCAAGAGAATGGCAACTCCAAGAACAGCCTGGTCCACACACTGAGTTATAAGCCATCTGGGAAGCAGAAAAAAACCCTGTCTCAGAGACCCGAAACAGAAGGAAAAGTACTTACCCTGCACCAGGAGCTCCATCACAGGCAAAGGAAATGATTAGTAAAAGCAAGGCTACGTCACAGCAAGATTTATTAATACATCCAAAAGAAAGAAAGAAAAATCATTTTGTCACACTATATACAGATAATACATACAGTGTTTTATACACATATTACATCAGTTTTTACACAAGAAAAATATACATAAAAATGTAAACTTTTGTATACAAAAACCCTTAAACAAATTAAACAAGGACCAGATAACAAAAGGAGACCAATCCATTATTATTTCATCAAATTTTTAAAACAGTAATACAGTACATTCATTGAGATATATATATATGGAAAATGTGAACCATCTCTTCCTGTTTAAAGGGAAATCACAAACCAAAACCTCTCGTCTCCCCAAATGTGTCCTCCCCAGCAGAACCTCCGCCTGCGCCACAGATAGGCCTATTCCCAATCTCCAGCCTCCTCTCCTGCACTGTGCAGACACTAGCTGCTCCCAGTGTGCGTGCTGTGACAGACTCGAGAAGACGCTTGGTTTGTAAGTCCCCTTTAAGCAGCTGCCCTCCTGTCTATGCTCTGAATGTATGGCATATGAAGCATACTGTGTGCCAAGGTGATCGAGAACACCGAAAAGGAAGAGCTCTCGGTACGGCTAGTCCTTGCTACCGTGCAGTTCCGTTGTTAAAAGACATTTTAAAACTGTCCAGCCTGCCTGTCCTTTGCTGGTTTCCAATGGCTACCTCACCTTTGATTTCCCACTGCAACTTAGTTTCAATTTACACTTGGGCACTCTGGTTAGTACCATACATCTGCCAAGAGGCTTTGTGTTAAAGGCTGATTCTGATATCAGTTCCAGTGAGCTACTCTGTGCAATCTGCTTCCTTAGGAGTACCCTTACTCCACTTCCCAGCTAACATAGCCTTTAGGATTATCTATCCGTCTACCTTTCTCTCCCCCTATTCTCAAGGTTTAATCTGCTGCCAGCTCATCACAAACAAAAACAGTATTTAACAGTTTTGTCTTAATGTTCTTGCATTCAATACAGAAAACTGAGAGACAGATGGAAAAAAAATACCTTGCGGGGGAAAGCAGTAAGAATTAAATATATGCCAAGTACATGCAACTTAAGAGTTAAGAGCTCTTTCAAAAAAATTAAGTAGTATCTTTAAAGAAATCAAACTTTGTAAAATAAACTACGCTTAGGACAGCATCCTGAGAAGCATCTTCTTTCCAAGGTGAACTGTGAACAAGGCAAAATGAGTAGATGATCTATCCCCTTGCGGCGAGAGAGGGGTCAGCTTCCCCCAGCAACATGACCGAAATGATCGCTAGTCATTAAGGAAAGGAAGAGGCAAATTGGTGAACTAAGTTGATGAAGGAGACGGTGGATAACACACAAAGGGCAATGCTAGGATTGCTCTAAAACTGAAACAAACAAGCTGGCTGTGGGATGTCGCTGTTGCAGAGAAGGGAGATGCACAGAATGCCCCAGTGGACTCATCTCTCATATGCAGATGCTGCTTTCAAAATGACAGTCTCCCTTGCAGTTACACAGACACAACAATAAAATAGGAAGCTAAATAAATAGTGTATGGCTGTCTTTAGATGAGACCTTTAAATGTTCTTTAAATAACTTTTGATAATGTATTTTAAATCATTACATACAACTGCCATTGCAGTGGCAGTATTCCAGTAGGGCAGCATTTTGCTAAATGTAAAAGATTGCCATTTAGAACTCATACATATACATGTGTATGTACAGTTATATCAACACTATTTATATACATATATATCTGGAGAGCAACATTTCATTGCCTTTGAATATTTCTATGTCCACTCCCACAATATATCTTGGAGACATACTGTGTGAGTATATACCAAAGTATATGTACACATGCGCCAACATGTATATATATACACTTTGATCTGTGTGTGCATAAGAGCTTTAAAGGCACGATATATAAGGGTGAAAGTTTTCTAGAGAGCTGTGGCAGAGTTAAAACTGAATGTCACAACTGTGAGCAAAGTCAAAAGGAAATACAGCAGATCCAAGACACAAGAACTCATTAGAGCATCTCATCATGAGAAGCATGAGTCAGCTGTAGATTTAAGAGGTTTCCATGTGACTTTGTATACTTTGTTAAAATTCAAAGGATAAATTTAGATTTAAAGGACAAAGTTAATCAAACTATTTAAACGATGACAGCTGTGGAAATATACTAACACTAACGTCAATCATAAAATCATAACTGTAATTTTTTTTCACTTTAAGTAAAACACTCCAAAGTTGCCTAGGAAATTTCAAAATTAACTGATTAATGTTGGCTTTTTATTTTTCATGACTACCCAATTCTCAAAGAAAATATTACTGAAAGCTGTATACTATGGGGACTGTCAGTGATAGAGGGATGTAAAAGCAACAGCCAAGGCAAGAGAACTAAGTCAGAAAGGGGAAGGGAGGGGTGATGTGGCTCAGCACATGCCCGGTCCAGGCCACCCTCAGGAGTCCATCTCCAGCACTCGGACAACACACAGCTCAGCGCAGGCGTGAGTGGTCAGCACAGAGAAACCAGCTTGTAGTCTGCGGGCAGTGCAACTGGTGTGGCCAATGTCATCTGTCATCTGTGACTCTAAGCTGAAGGACTTCTATCTCAGTATGGCTGATGATGTATTCTAGACTGCTGTCACTTCCACAGGCTTGCAGAATAATCCAGAATTTCCCACAGATGCATAATCTTGCTTAGCAAAGGCTGTAAATCTATTACACACACACATTTTTAGGGAAATATATGTATATAGCTTTATCTATACACACACATATACATACGTGTATATAGAGATTTATACAAATGTATAAATAAACATAATACTTTTCAATATTCCCATTGACAAGGCAAATTCACATTCAGCAAAGTGCCACCACATCCCATATACACATCTCTGTACAGATACACACAGGGTCTGTTTTCACCCTTCAAGAAGGGGAATTGATTCTAGCAAATTCCATTAAGCAGCAACTGAAGGGAGAAATGGCATCAGCACAAACTTCCTCCTTTCATTTGCATGTGTCTGCACAAGAAGTCCAATAGCAAGAGTGAATGGAACAGGGAGATGTTACAAAAATACCATCGTAAAAAACATAGAAAGCTTTCCCAGGTTTTGACTAAGATGAATTAAGCGAGGCCTCAGAGACAACTACCAATTCAAACATGGACTCAGGAGTTGCTGCCCTGATATATTCCCTAAGCATAGAGTTTTCTTTCTAGAATAAACCTGATGGAGTACTGTCTCAGACCATCAGATGCTCCAGTCAAGAGGGCACAGCAAAATGGCAAAGCTCAAAGTACAGGAATGTATCTTTTTAGCTCCACGTCAATCAGGTAGGCATAAAAGGTAGCATGATTTTTCCTACAGCCAAAAGATTAGGGCTGCGGTGCTCTGTTCCATAACCAATGATACGATTCAGTTTTAAAAAATGTTTTGAAATAACGAAAATCACGCCAGCTTTGGAATATGCACAGTGAAATGAGCCCACCAAGTCCTTAAACAAGCTTCAAAAGCTTCTTTATCAAGGCCTAAGTGATCTGAACTTGATCAAGAAAACATCATAATACTTTATTACTCGGAATATAAAGAACATTTATTAGACATAAAAGTGTTTCAACAAATCTGTGGTCCCATTACCTCAATATAAACAAGCTGTTATCCAGGTCTGTCTCTGCTCGTAAGTATGAGGCCGGCCTTAGAATCTGCTTTTCCTATGCCACTTTAAAGACACCCTAAGTTAATTCAAAGGGTAAAAGAAAATGCACTTGATATCAGAGCTAGCCTTTGAACACAGCATAGCAAAGAATATGGCATGTTTATAAGAAAGAAACAATGGGAAAGTAACTGGAATACCCTCAGCTAGATAAAACATTTCTATAATACATTCGGTTACCTTTCTATTTTTATACAAGCACACATTCATCTCACACACGTGCCCCCAATGTCTATTTTTGCATGTGTGTAAAAACACAGACACACACACACACACACAAGTAATTTACTTCTATTTTTAAGTCACAGTGGGAATTCCTTAGTGAGGAGGGGGAAACGTTCCTGAATGAGACACTGAGAACATCTAGATTTATTAATTTTACTTCTCAATTTACAGAATAAACTGTAAATTAAAGAATAAATCCATAGGCAATAACAGAGGTCTACAGTAGTGGGAGTGTTACTGGATCTATTTGCTTCTATTTACCCTGTAACTAAGCGTCTAGCCATCATAAGTGTAAACCACAGATCATGTACTACAGAACACGATTCTCAACAGCTCTAGGAAGGATAAGATGTGGTCTAAGGGTGTTCTACACTGTGAGGCCCCAGGTTATCCTTTTTTGTATATATCTGCAAGGTAGCGAAGGACAGCTGTACACCTTGACACGGCAGAGATCCAGTGTAAAAAGGTGCGTCACTAGTTTGTTTTGTCAAAGATAAAAATAAAAATCAAAAGAAGCTCATATATAATTTTTAAGCTATTAAAACACATAGGCAACATAATTCATTACACTCAATACAGCTTTAGTATAAAACTTATAATTTATGAGGTGATGTTAATAGCATAAATTAATATACCTTTTCTCTTAAAATCTACAATAAGTATTCTGAAAGCTCATGGGGAAGTTTTTAAATAAAAGTTTTAAAGCTGTGCATGATGGGAAAGGATTCTGTCCGCTGAAGCTGAGATGAGAGCCTGAAGTAGAAAGGAAAACGTCCTCGGTGAGCTACCACGGGCTGTGAAACCAAATGCTTTCTCTTTCTTGAGCTCCCATCAATGATGAGTCACCTTTAGTTTCTTTTAAAACTATTTTTTTATTTTAAAAACTGCCCTAATTTCCGCAAGGAATCCCTGAGACATACTCAACACTAGACAGTGAGAAGAGCCATCACTGTTGAGAACTGACCCAACCCTCTGGAAGACAGGCGCATGCTGTCAGCAGATGTCACACTCTCTACCGCGTCAGCACTAACCCGCTGGAGACACCCGAACCTTAGTGACACAGGCTGGAGTCATTTGGGGGCAATTCAATTTATTCCCCAAGGAAAAGCAACGGTGTGGCCTTGAGCTATTCTGTTGCCTTCCACCTTGCGTGTTGAAATGTTTTCCATGGGGAACTTGGGGTGCATATAGAGCTTAGGTCAGTGGTCCCCAGCTTAAAAAGCAAACAAACAAACAAACACATAGAACAACAACAAAAACCAATGAAAAAAAGATTCTACACTCTTGGGCCAAGGTGAGTGCGGCTCATGTGTGTGCATGCGCACACTGCAGCACCGGGGATGAGCGTGCAAAACAGGCAGAGGAGGAAGGAAAGAAAACATGCTGTCCCACTGGCCTCCAGGATCGACCAGCTTTTATCCTAGAAGATGGCTCTGCACCCTGACTTAGATCAATCAAAGACCATCTTGGATCTATACTTCAAGCCATTCAAAAATTACTGATACTCTGGAATATGGGTCAATAAAGTCATAACACTTCTCTCTGAAATGCCACATCTCGTTTTACTTGTTCCTTATCACAGTGCAGAGGGGAAAGCTAACTGAGAAAAAGGAGCCAAGAAAAACAACAAACGGCTCCCTAACCTAACCTATAACTGCAGTGTTAATGACACTGGGCTGTTGGAAAAGCCATGATGAACATTCATAAGTTCCTCTTAACTCGCCGGCTAGGGAGACCGCTTAACAGATCTCCATCTATGCACTTCACAGAGATCACATTATACACGTGTGAAAGACAGCATTTAAATACTACTCTAATTAAAGTGTGATTTGGTTCCCACCAGAATATAATAACATAGGGAAGCTTAAAGAAGCCAAAATATTAAGCAATCATTATTTTTCTTTTCTACATAATTCCAGGGAAGATTTTCAAGTTACTGAAAGGGGGGGGGGATACATAACTTTTCATGAGTGACTATCCCCATGAAATAATTTTAACAAAAGAAACCTTTAGAACAGTGTGGAGAGCAGTAATAGAAGAAATACAAATGAGGAGTCACTGCAACTCAACTCAACGGTGTTTCTGAAGTTCCTCATTACACTGCAAAGTTGTATTGACCTTTCAACACCCATTCTATTAGATTACCCTACACAAGTCAGCCAAAGAACAGAATTTCATCTTTTTAAGTCTAAAAAGGAAAGATGAAAAGTCTAAAAAGTAAATACTTTTGAAATTCTAATGAATTCCAAGCCCATTGAATAGTTTAGTGTTAACATCCCCACATTCTGCACATCCATGCTCGGAACTCCGAGAGGGAGACAGTGACTTCAAAGAGGTGAGCGTCCCACCCCCGGCGCTGCCCAGGATGCCAAGGTGCAGAGAAGACTCTAGGCCAGACACACAAGGACTTCACTTCTGTGTGATGCACCTCTAATGCCGGTTTATAAGACTCCATGCTACAGGCCACCAGAAACGACATGCCCAGGACACCTCTATCTGGCGTGGACATGGCTTCCTTCCTAAACAAAGAATTACCTCTACTGTGTGGACTGTGAGCATGGACTGAGAATGAGCTTTGGAAAAGTTTTAGTGTGACCCACAGAGGGGATGATCCCTAACCTTCAGGTGAGTCTGGTTTACTTCAAAAGATTAATCTTAATAGTTATTTGGCAAAGATAAAGTATTAACTGTCCTTAGCCTTACACCACTAAAAATGGTAACATCAACTTTAAGGAATATTATTAAACAACCACTTTCCAACTCCATGTCCAATGACTATCTGATTCTCTTGAAACCATAATCTTCTGAGGGCCACTAGACACACCACACTACCTGCCAACATGAAACTGCTCTCGTTTATGAAGCAGGAACGCCTCACATGGTTCGCTCACTAGAAAACAACCCTTGCTTCTCAGCAGCTGTTTCCATTGCATAGTCTGTCACTTGCTGGTCTACCTGGAACCGCCAGTTACCATCCTGGATTGTTTACTAGCTGTGTGTCCTACCCAGGTGTGGACATTGCTAAGCCATTTTTACAGAGGAAACAAACAGTATCTTAAGTACTTTACTAAAATAACATTAACAATTAAAGGAGAGAAAGCCCATTTTCTCTTCAGATACCAGAGATTACGGCTGCTGAATATCAAATTCTCAGAGCACAGAATGCATTCATTAATTGCAGCAACTTCAAAAATTAAATCACAGTAACACAATCTAACTGGCCTTTAGAAATGGTCCCAAAGAACTGCAGAGACAGACTGAGCCTTCATTGTCACTGTCTCTTATGTACTGAACACTACAGCAAAAGCTAGCATCTACCCTATAAGACCTTGTGTAAGGTTTTTGATTCCAGTATTGCCTTACCATAATACAAGTGCTGTTCTCATGTAAGCATTATAAAAGATGCTTTTTTTTCTTTGCATCTTAATGCCCCACCTACTATTGAGAGACTAGAACTGCTCCAAAAAACTAGAGAAGAAACAAAGTGGGTACCGCTGGGCTTGTGGATACTCTTCCGACAGGAGATGCTCAAGAAAAGCAGACTATAGGCTTGGATGTTAGTTCTGAAATATTAGAAATCTGTGCTTTTTGCTAATTATTCAATTCTATACCAGTACTTTCTAAGACTATTCTCTCTTCGGCTATCGTCATGGGCAGCAAAACAAAAGAGAGTTTACTCAAGATTTTTGGCGTGAAGCTTTAACTGGCAACATTCCTGATCACTTCATGCCTTCTTACTCAAAAGCAAAGAAGGGCTTTTAAATGCACATAAAACAGAAAACTGCGGAGTTCCCGGGATCGCTGAAGGCTTCGGTCAGAGGCAGGATCCTGCCCGTGGGTGACATGGACAGAGGTAAAGAAAACTGTGGTTTCAGGCCTGCTGAGACCACAGCTCCTTTTGGTCTAAAACGAGTCTTGGTGACAGAGCAGATTCCTTCTCAGAACCTAGGATGGGCTAGCAGTGGCCAGGCCCTGAGGGTCCGGTGTCCTTCCAACTCCTCCCACCGTGTCCCTTCACAAGCACAAAAACTGGCCTCATGTCAGAGGCCAGTGCCAAAGCTGTTGCCAGCTGCCAGCGTTCATCGACCTGTCTCCCAGCTCACCAACCCCCAGAAGAGTGAGCAGCCACAGCCCACAGCCTCTGGAAATAATTCTGAAAAGGGACAGGCATCAAAACAGAAAACTGAAGACTCGAAAAAAAGGCAGTGGACTCTGGAGATTTTGACATGGCCGCCCCCTGGGTAAAGGAAAGTTAGGAAATGTTTACTTGACAAGGGAGATGCAAAAGCAAGTTTATCCTGGCCCTGAAGGTGCTGTTTAAAACCCAGCTGGAGAAAGCAGGGGTGGAGCACCAGCTTCAAAGAGAAGTGGAGATACAGTCCCACTTGCGGCACCCCAACATCCTCAGGCTGTCTGGATATTTCCACGATGCCACCAGAGTTTATCTAATCGGGACAGTCTACAGAAGCTCCAGGAGCACTTCCGGTCTGAGAGCAGAGAACGGCTACCTACATCACCAAGCTGGCAAACGCTCTGACACACTAAGCCAGAGAACCTGCTTCTTGGGCCAAATGGAGAGTCGAGGATCACAGACTTCGGGTGGTCTGTGCATGCTCCATCTTCCAGGAGAACCACACTGTGTGGCACCCTGGACTACCTGCCCCCTGAGATGATTGAGGGCCGGATGCATGACGAGAAGGTGGACCTCTGGAGCCTGGAGTCCTTGCTATGAGTTCCTAGTTGGGATGCCCCCCCCCCCCCCTTTGAGGCACAGACCTACCAGGAGACCTACAGAAGGATATCACGGGTTGAATTCACACTCCCCAACTTTGTGACCTCATTTCAAGACTGTTAAAGCACAATGCAAGCCAGAGGCTAACACTAGCGGAAGTCCTTGAGCACCCCTGGATCACAGCTAATTCCTCAAAGTCTTTGACTGACCAAAAAAACCAAAAAGCTAACTAGCAAATCGTCTTAGAGAATTCGGAGCCGTGGCCACTGTGCAGCTGTGAGACCCCCGCGGGAGCATCATCACTGCCCCCGGTCCCCTGCTGAGCAGGCAGTCCTGGCCTTGCATCCAGGAAGCCCCACCTGAGCAAGAACCATGCTGCTCTTCCTGGTTCAGTAATCTGGAGGAAGGTTCCACTGCAGTAGTTCCCATGGCCTGTGACCCCAAAGTGTCCTTGTGGGGTCTCACTCAATGTGGGAAAGTTCTCACCCTGGCCACCTCCCCAGTGATCACCTGTGTCCGTAGCCTTCAAGTGCCTGAGTGTGTGTAACTTATTGGGCTGCCAGGACTGGGAAAGCTGTAGTTTTCTTTTAAATGTTAGAATAAAGGTTTGTGTAGCCTTTTCTTAAGTGGCAACCCTTCAGAACACTTGTTTTCAGCCTTAAGCCTGTATAGGATTCGGATCCTCGACCACCTTAAATGGAGCCTGTGCTCTTCCTGCTTTGGACTTGACTCAGGTGTTTCTAGATGTTATGGGCTGTTATGCTGGAGTTCTGTCAAGTACACAAACTTGTTAAATATATAAATATATGTATAACATCTAAAAATTTGAGAAAAAAAAGAGAAAACTGCAAACAATAAAAAGGTGCAACCTACTGCAAACTCAGCCTCGACAGCTAAAGAATTTTCAGCAGCTAATGCAGGGACAAATGGCCACTAACAGTCCAAGCTGATAACCCATGACTTTCTTCTCGCGGTCAAATAGGAGCTTGATAAGGAAGTCCAGTGCTGCTCTGCTTCCATCTTCAACTGAGACACAATGGAGACAAAACAATTTTCTGAGGATGCACAGTTATCTAGTGATGATTACAGCGGGGTGTGAAGACAGCTCAGCAAACGAAACGACACTCTGGAGGTGAGGTAACCACTCCTTACCATTTCATTACAGTGCACCAACACGAACAAGCTGCTGACACAAGTTCACAGGTGAGAAACAGGCACAGAGCTGATTCTCACCATTTAGGAGAAGCTCATGGTGATACTAAACAGAATTTCTTTGTGACATAATTTCTAATTTAAAAATTTCTCAATCTGAAAAATGGCAAAGCTAATACCTTAAATGTTGCAATTAACATAATTTTTTAAAAAAAGAAATACATTACACACATATTTTGCCCTCCCCAAATTCAATAAATATAAAATAGGGCATATCGTGATTTCATACAGTCATGTGACTTTCCCTCCCAAAGCCCAGGCACACGGTATCTGCATACTGCCTGCTGCTCACATCACTCCTTTGTAAGGCAGAGAAAGAAAGCCTTCAACAGAAGGGACTGCTCAGAATAGCATAGCATGAAGAAAACATACCTAAGGAGGAAAGGAGGAAAGTATGTCCCAACCTTTACTTGTTAGGAAGGAAGGAATTAGGATCAAACAGTCCCTGACAAAAGAATTACTGTACCACATCATTAACAGATATGTTGTCTTATTTTTAAAAATATACAGATGTAAATTAAATTGAACTCAGGTGTGAATACCCAGTGGCATTCAAAGGGACAGTGAAACCTCAGCAAACAGATCAGAAAGTGAAGTTCCACCCTTCTCTGCAGGGGAAGGCAAGCAAGAAGAAACCCCACACATCACTCCATAGTCACCAACTTGCCACACTAATCAACAAGATGTTCACCCTAAAACCTTGATACTTTAAAAGACTTCCAAATTTACTTCACCTTAAGTATTTAAATTATTTTAAAAGTACCTAAGGTAAGTCAAATTTATGTCTAATTTCCATATTCTGCTTTGAAAGAAATTTTAAAATGTGTGTCCTTCCAATATTACACATCACTTCACAACTGGTACACGGACTCTACACGTGTCCTCAACAGTTCACAAATCTCACCAAAGAATCACAACTGTAAACATGGAAAACTAGGAGCGAATGACAGGCCAGGCAGGGCACAGATGTCTCCTCTCAAGTTCACCTGGTCAAGCCTGCTTGTCCACATCAAAACATTTTTTAATTACAGCTTGCAAATGTGTTCCATGAGCGAGGGATTTTGAAACAAATACACATGGAAAAGGCAAAGACCTGAGCAGCCTGAGCCACACGGGGTAGTTGTCATGACACTCCCTGTCACTGACGTGAACTCAGCCTTTCGTGGCTCCTCTCTTCATAGGCTGAGCATTAGAGACAAAGGGCCGTGTTACCACCACCATGCCACCCCTCCTATTCAGATGCTTTAGTCAACTCAGTCAGAAACGATGCTAGGTATAAGACGGAAGGAGGGGAAAAAAGAGCCAAAAGCTTATTTGAGAGAAAAAGACAAAAAAACCCCAAAACAACAACAACAAAAAACCCCATGATAGCTACTTCCTGCACTGCACGAAACATATACGGGGGAACACACATTCACAGGCAGTCAAGAGACAATGTTCTTTTCAGTTAACCACATCACAATTAGGAATGGCACCCAGGCCTCACTGTGGCGTTTGGCAGTCGGGGCTAAGTCAGAGTTTGGATTTGCCTCCGCACACCACCTGCTACACAGGATCTCAACAGACCACTCTGTCTACAACAACCTATGTAAAAACCTGGCTGGAGAAGGGAAAGCACTGATCTCAACACGAGGAAATAGTAAAGGGCACTGGTAATCTGAGGTATCTTCCACTTCAATCCTATCCGGTCACTGTGCTGCGCCACCAGAGGACCCGCCAGGAGGGAGGAGCACCAGTGCTAAGGAGCACACGTGAACACTGACACAGGTCGCCGCGCGGCCACTTGCTGATTGGGAAGGGGGTCCTGCTAATCCCCACTCTTGTTTCTAAATCTTCTGTAGGAAAAGAGGAGGGTGCAAAAGAGGAAACAAAGATAGAAAACACCAGGTCCCACCTGCCTGAAAGCAGACTCGCTCACTCAGTTAGGGGTGGGGAAAGGGGGAGATGCATTATTGGTACTTGTAGCCGTGGCACCTGTTACAGTGAAGCCTGTGGGAGGGGCTATGGAACTGTGGCTGGGCTGCAGGTCCTTAGGAATGCCACTGTGAGAACTCAGCTGGTGGCCGAAGGCTGCACTGAACTGCGGGAGCTGCTGCTTGGGAGAGGTGGAGGCCATTAGTTCAGCGGAAGGCCCCATGCCACTAAAGCTGGTCTGTGGTAACCCCGGAAGCACACTGGAACTGCTCGGGGTAACGGTGGCGAAGGCAGGCTGTGTGGTCTCTGAGTTGGACGTGGTGGGTGGCGTGGAGAGGGAGGTGGAAAGAAGGTGTCCATCCGCGCCAAGGAGGTTGCTAAATGCAGAGGGATCGCCAAGGTTGACGGGGAGATTCCCCCAGTGAGTTCTGGGGTTGACCACTCCTCCAAGTGGCACCTCAAGTTGGGTTGGGAGCAAGTGCTGTGCCATGATGGGCATCTCTGCTGAAAAGGTAGCTGCCATATTATCACCAGAGTAAGATGTGTGGGGAGAGGTGATATGGTCACTGTAGGGCGACGGCACGTGCTCGCTATCATAATGGCTTCCATGGGGTGAGGAGTGTGAGTGATCACTGCTGTATTGCTGTCGTGAGGTGATTAGGTCATCTGCCTTGCTCAGCAGCTGGGCAGGGTGTGGCCTCTGGGAGGCATGGCTGCCATCATGAAGTCCATGAAACCGTCCTGGGAAGGCTCTCTCCCCAAGTGCACTCTGGCTGAGCAGAGTGGCAGAAGTAAGGCCAACGCTGGCTGGGGCAGAGAACTGCCCCTGGATCTGCCCTGCAAGGGGTGTGGGTGGGTTAGACAGGCTAGCGGAACGGAGGAGGTTCTCGTCCAGCTCCAGACTAGAGAAGCTGTCGTGGACCATGCGTCCATTCAGCAGCTCCCCTAGGTCCGTGTTTACTTCTCGACTCAAGGACTGGATTCCCGAAGCATCAGTACCTGCGGAGAACACCCCCATTCCTCTATCTGACAACCCCTGAACTGGCACACCGTCTGACTGGGTAAGTACCCCAATTGTACTCAGGCACTCGAGAGAAGTTACAGCTTGCAAGGCCCGCTCAAGTTCCTCAGCTTCTTCGGTGGTCGGGAGGAGGTCTCCATTCTTTCCTGCATTAACCAAAGCCAGCAGCATCAGCAAAGCTCAGCGGTGATTGACAAAGCGTAAGTCTCGCGGCTGAGTATTTAACACTACCCATCACAAGAGTCCTTGCCAGGCTTGGACTTTAATCCTACAACTCAGGAGGCAGAGGCAGGAGGATCTCTGTGAGTTCTAGCTGAGCCAGTCTACAGAGCCAGTTCCTGGCCAGCGAGGGCTGAATAGTAAGACTCTGTCTCAGAGAAAGAACAAAGACCTCTGTGAAAAGAAAAAAGTTTCTTTTTAGACAGGGTTTCTCTGGGTAGCCCTGGCTATCCCGGAACTTTCTCTGTAGACCAGGCTGGCCTTGAACTCACAGAGATCCACCTGCCTCTGTCTCCAGAGTGCTGGGAGTAAAAGCCTGTTTACTACCACCAGAGAAAAAACGTTTCTTATACTGAGATTAGAAAGAAAAAGAAAATATTGATGATCTGCAATACAGGTCTCAAATGTCAGTTTTCTTGGAATTTCAATGACCATCTTTATTTGTCTCAGAAATCTACCATAAGAAATGTTTTTTATTTATTTACTTATTTATTTTTTGGGTCGTTTTCAGACATGATTTCACTTTGTAGCCTTGGCTGGCCAAAAAACTTACCACATAAAACAGGTTGACCTCAAACTCATAGAGATCTGCCTGTCTCTGCTTCCCAAGTGCTGAGATTAAAGGTGTGTATCATCAAGCCTGGCTCTGTTAAATTCTTTTTATGTTTATTTATGACTAAGTGTATCTATCTGTGTGAACTTCTGCCACATGTATGTGGGTGCCTGTGGAGGCCAGGGTGTTGGCTTCTGGGTCTGAAGTTACAAGCAATAGTAAGTTGTCCAATATAGATGCTGTACATTAAACTTGGGTCCTAGCTGGGTGATGGTGGTGCAAGCCTTTAATCTGAGCACTTGGGAGGTAGAGGCAGGAAAATCTCTGTGAGTGTGAGGCCAGCCTGGTCTACAGAGTGAGTGCCAGGACAGGCTCCAAAGCTACACAGAGAAACTGTGTCTCGAAAAACCAATACACAGTGGGAGGGAATGGGAATTTGGATTGGTATTTTTTTAAGTAATAAAAAATAAATAAAACATGATAATCTGAAAAAAAAAAGAAAAACCAATTAATAAAAAATAAAACAAACTCATGTCCTCTGGAAGAATACAGCTACTCTCACCATTGACACTGAGCATTCTCTCTCCTGACCAGGCCTGGTGGTGCATACCTAAACACCACCACGCCTGGCTCCAAAGACAGGTCAAGCCTCAAAAGATTTTAGTAAACTGATATGTTGATCGGCACTGTCAAAACATTAAGGAAAAGTACTCACTTTAATGGCACAAAATTACATAGTAATTAAAGTATAAATCTACTAAATATATACTATGATTAAATTAATTATGTATTCCTCACCTTCTGAAAGCAGCTTTAGTGATGGTATTTTCCATGTATAGTGACAGGAAAAACATTTCAGATAAACTGCAAAAGGTTATTTTATTTAAAAAATTCGTAATAAACTGGCCAGTAAATGGCTCTGTGGGTAAGCGTACATGCCCCACATGCCCAACAATCTGAGTCTAATCCCTGGAGATCATGGGAAAGCGGGAGAAAAGAATGCTCTCCCCAGCTAGCCCGTACCCTCCATATTCATGTGTGCTGTGCAAACACACACACATACATCATGGGCAAAGCAACAATAATAATAAAAGTTATTAGTATTTCCAGGATGAATTTGGTGACACTGGGCATAATCTCAGGACTCCAGAGCTGAGGCAGGGGCATTGTTAATTCAATATGGTTAAGAGCTTGTCTCAAAAGTCTAAAATAAAACTTATTTCCCTTCTTATGAACCATTTCAAAATCAATCATACCTTCAAAAAAATCAAAATCTTGTAAGTCATCAGGCAACCGTGGCAGGACATCCGCAAAGTCTTCATGGCTCAATTCTAAGTCATGCGGAATGCCACTGATCTCGTTGGCAATGTCATCCGGCAGCTCATCGGCACTCAGCTCTGGCGTGGAAGGACTACTACAGAGACAGCACAGTTATCTAGGCTGCCCCACCTCCCCCAGATATTCAGTACAAACACGGGAGACGGAAACATACATGAGGTGAGGATGTCTAGGAATACATGAGACTCTATCTCCAAACAAATAAATAAATGAAAATGATTTCTCCTCACTTCACGAGAAAATGTGAAAGCAAAACGCTGCAGAATGAAACACCGCACTACATAGTCACAAATTCCTACAGCTTTTACCCATTCAGGTGATGACTTCAAATCACTAGCATGGATCACCATTTAGTATATCTATGTTCTAGCAAAATTTCAAATCTGATCAAGATAATAACTTTAAAAATGAAATAAATGGACAAGATTGAACTGAAATTCATTTGATCAAAAAGTCTGCCAAAGCTTAAAAAAATCATATTTCTAAATTACATACATCTATTATAACGTGTATAATTTCTGTTAAAACAGAAAACCCTGAGAGTAAACGCTTTGAGAGTCTCAATTTCTGCATCTATTTTCCTTGCCATAATAAAAAACTGATATCAATGAAAGTGTACTGCACTTAGCCAGCCACCGGTAAATCTGTCAAAGACAACTGAAGGGTAGGGCTGTGGAGGCTGGGACAACCCTGAGGCCACACCCCAAAGAACACCCCCCCACACACACCCAACCCCACTAACCAGATCTGCGAGGCCTCCACTGGCAGTGAGACGCTGGTGGGCATGCTGAGGTTCCCTTGGGGCACTGCAGGGGGAATTGGTTTCTGGGGTCGACGAGGTCCACGCCTTCTCTTCTTCTTGTGTTTTTTGGTAAGTGCAGGGGGCTTCGTTTTTTTCCTAGGTTTCCTCGGTTGCTGGTGCTGAACTTTACGGGAGTTATCTCCTCTCAAGAAGTTATCCTTTGAAATGAACAGAGGAATTTTTTTAAAACCTACTCCACCCCTCACTCCTGGCACAATAGTGCACAACAAGGTGATTATGGGCTGGCAAGCCTTGTCCACCTCAAGACTAGAAGAAAGCTCAGTTTTCACCAGAGAGGAGAGGAGCTAGGAATGTAGCTAAGTAGGTACCGTGCCCACCTGGCATGTCCAAGCCCTGAGTTGGCTCTCCAGTACCACCTAAAGCCAGGTGTGGTGGAGGCTCTATTTCTACATGCTATGGCCATAGTTTGCACCTGCCACACAGGAGGGGGTCACTATCCCTAACAAAGGGTCAGGATTTGGTTCTGCTCCTTCTTTGTATTTTGGAGGATGCCTGAAAAGAGATGTTAAATCAGCCTACGTGACAGAGCTGGCATTCGGAGCAGGAAGATAGGGAGACGTGACAAAACGGGCACAGAAAGGTGTGGTCAAAGGTGTGGACCTGACCTACATTTGCCTGGTTACCTAGGAAACAGAATGCTAATGAATTTCCCCCTCAGTTTATGTTTTGGTATAAAGGCTGTTTGGAGAATAAATGGAGGAATTTTCAGGATGTGAACTCAGGATTTCATGAGGGATCCCTGAGAATCTCCCTCCTGATAAAGCCATGTGAGTTGTCTCCATTATTCCTGCGCCGCCCCTCTTGTCTAGAGAAATAATTTAGGGTCCGGGCTGGCACGGGACAACAACAGTATGGTGGTGCATACCAGGAACCTAGGCACTTGGCCAGTGGTGGCTGGAGGGTCAGAAATTCAAAGTCAATACAAGACCCTGTCTCCAAAGGAAAAAGTTAAGTATTTGAAAGCTCTGTTTTATCCAGTTTAAATATTGTATAATATTGAAACATCACATTATTTCATTCGTAATTTTTGTGTATAAGTTAAAATAAATTTATCTAGGGCCGAAGACAAGTCTTAGTGGTTAAGAGCACTGTCTGCTCTTCTAGAGGACTGGAGTCCCATTCCCAACACCCACATTGTCTGTAACTCCAGTCCGAAGGGACTTGACACCCTTTTCTAGCCTCTACAGATATGAAGCACACATGTAATCCACATACACACAGGCGAACACCATATACATGAAAATAATTATCTAAAAAAACAGAGTATCTGGAAAATCTTAACTATCACAAATTTCTTAATAATCTACATAAGTGCCTAAAGCTATATACAAAAAGTACAAAAAATTACCTTAATTCCTCTCTCTCTCTCATGCACACGCATACACACACACACACACATGCATCACATCCACCTAAAGGCATTTTGAGGGCTTGGGTACAGAGCAATGGTGGAATGCTGCCTCGTATATGCAAGCCAAAATCTGATTTTCAGCAAAGCCAACAAACAATCAAGATGGTATGATAATTTATGCTCTCCAAGAACTTACTCTTCCCATGGGAAAACATCAAGAAAAGGATAACACAACACACAGAAAATGAACAATAGTAGATCTTAAAAGACATGGATCTTTTAAGGAAGATCATCTAGGCCAAAGGTAAGCGCACAAACAAGAAAAAGCTATTTGGTGAAGAAGCTTAGGGATAGAGCATATATGATTCTGAATATCTCAATTTTAAACTTAATATGCAATGAGAGACTTTTTTCCACCCAGGAGTCATTTTTGAGAACACATGGCAGAAATATTACAAGATAAGCCAGCCTGGCAGCAGTGTGGGGCTGAACATGTGGAGGGCAGTGCCTTCAAAGGGCCAGCCATCTCAACAGTCAAGAAAATGAATGAATAAATAAAAAAGTGCAGACTCATCAAATTGAAATTATTTTTATTTCATTATTTATTTATTTGTGTGTACATCTACACAAATATATGCACATGTTTGTGCAGGCACGTGTACATGTCATAATCAGAAGAGAGTAGTGGATCTCTAGGAGCTGGTTCCAGGCACCTAGGAGGTGCCCAGCTTGTTCTGTGGGTACAGAACTCCAGCCCTTGTGATTGCAAAGTTAAATGCTCTTAGCCACTGAGCCTCCTGCAGCTCTCAATTTGAATTAGTTTTGTTTTGCTGCTGGGAATTGAACCCAAGGCTTCATACATGCTAAGCACATGGAGTTACATCCTCTGGTAGCTCCTTGGATCTGGTGAGGTTAAAAGGAATATGAAACTAAAATACCTCTAGAGAGTCTAGCTGGGTTAACTGTTTAATGACAATTACCATTAGTTCAGTGCTTGTTCAAACTCTTGAAATTGCAACTTGACACCGGCCTATAAATTTGTTAGGCTGCACTTGTAACTGCTGGGGCCCACTTCCTTCACTAACTCACACAACTGAAGCTGCAAATTCAGGAGAGGAGTCAAGGCATTTATCCTGACCTACATACAATTTGAGATATGACATTTCTAGAGAGGCAGAGGAAAGGGCTGGAGGTGCAGACTCAAGGGATCCATGGTATAGTAAGAGTCCTTCAAGAAATGTATATGGAGGCAGTGGTGGTGCAAACCTTTAATCCCAGTTCTTGGGAGGCAGAGGCAGGCGAATCTCAGAGAGTTCAGGCCAACTGGGTCTACAATATAGTTCCAGGAGTGCCAGCAATATTACACTAGAAACCTTGTCTTGAAAGAAAACAAAAAAAAAAAAATTGGGGGCAGGAGAAATGGCTCAGTGGTTAAGAGCATTGGCTGCTCTTTCAGGGGTCCTGAGTTCAATTCCCGCAACCACATGGTGGCTGGCAAACACCCATAATGAGTTCTCATGCCTGTTTTGGTCTGTAGGCTTATACGCAGGAAGAACACTGTGAAAGAAAGAAAGAAAGAAAGAAAGAAAGAAAGAAAGAAAGAAAGGAGGGAGGGAGGGAGGGAGGGAGGGAGGGAGGGAGGGAGGGAAGGAGGGTATATAGGAAACAAACAAAGAGGAACGTAAGGACAAGGCTATGTGAAGAGGCAAGGGAAGAGAACTGCCAAGGAATCAGAAACTGACAATTCTGCTCTCTCTCAACTTTCAGAGTCTTTAATTCTACCTATCATATGAAACAGGCTTGATATTTGTGTGGCCCTAAAATTCGTTTGTTGAGTTCCTAACCCTCAATGTGATGATGATATCTGGAAGTAGGGCCTTTAGTCATAGAGACCTCATGAAATAGGATTATTGCTCATATAAAAGTGATACAAGACAGGAGCTAGCTGGGTCTCTGCAAACCCCATAAGGAAAAGCCAGATGTTTATGAGGTAAAAGGTGTTGTGGATTATTACTTTAACTAAGCAAAGATGTTTTACATTTGTTTATGCTGAATTTGTTAACAATGTAAAGATGTGTTGTTTTGTCTGTCTAAGAAACCAGATTGGTCTAAAAACAAGGTGAATGGCCAACAGCAAGGCAAAAGAGGGACAGGCAGGGTTGGCCTGCAGAGAGAGTAAGTAGGAGGAGGAATCTAGGCTTCAAAGAGGAGGGAGAACAAGAGAGGAAGACACCTAGGGCCAGGTGGCTGCCAGTCAGACATGGAGTATACAGAGTGAAAGAAAGGTTAAAAGTCCCAAGACAAAACACAGAATGATGGGGGAGGAGTCTTCTGGCTTGTGTTAATTTCATTGGTTAAATAAAGAGACTGCCTTGGCCCTTTACTAGGACATAAAATTAGGTAGGCGGAGTAAACAGAACAGAATGCTGGGAGAAAGAAGCTGAGTCAGGGAGTCGCCATGGTTCTCCCACTCCAGACAGACGCAGGTTAAGATCTTTCCTGGTAAGCGCACCTTGTGGTGCTACATAGATTATTAGAAATGGGTTAAGAGGCTAAAACTAATGGGCCAGACAGTGTTTAAAAGAATACAGTTTCTGTGTAATTATTTCGGGTAAAGCTAGCTGGGTGGCGGGACACAGCCTGCTGCTCCTATTACAACAGAATGGCGTTACGCCTTCGCCTTCAACAGATGAGGTAAAACAGTTAAATTAAGTTATGAAAGCTAGTGGGACAAGCATATGTTAAGGCCAGCATCCATAACTAATAGTAAGTCTCCGTGTCATGATCTGGGAGTTGGCTGGTGCCCCATCAAGCCTGACAACTGGAGCTCAATCTCCGGGACCCACATGGTGGAAGAATCGACCCCTGCAAGCTGTGCTCTGTGCCCACACAGGTGCACGTATGCCAAGCACAGAAAGAAATGTGAAGAAAAAGAGAGCGAACCCACGACCTCAAGTCTACATTTCCAGCATTTATTCTTTGCACTTGGTCCTGGAGCCCTGGCATCTGCTAAGTGTGTGATAGAAGTTTTTACTGTTTATGAGGCAGCCACGCTGTAGAACTTGGCAAGAGCTGCCTGAACCAAGGCCGTGTTCCAGAATCCTAAGATGTACATTTGACTATCTCTGCAACTGAGGAGCGTTTTATAATTGCTGTCAGCCAGATGACGGTCACAGGCAGCATTACCTACATACACATCAAACACAGTTACAGCTCATATTGCTTGAATTAAGTAATACACTCTGTTGGTATAGGTTAGGCAAAAACAACACAAAACTGTGTACCAGAAAGGCACCAGGAGTAGCAGGGTAAAAAGAGCAGGGCATAAAATTGATGTTAGTGAAACAAATACCATCCCCAAGCAGGGTTCCTCTGTGTAACAGCCCTAGCGTTCTGGAACTAGCTCTGTAGATCAGGCTAGCCTCAAACTCACAGAACTGCCTGCCTCTGCCTCTGAGTGTTGGGATTAAAGACGTGTGCCACCACTGCCCGGCTACAAATACTCATTATTGAAGAACAAATGACAAGCTTTCTTCTCAAAGCAACAACCCAGTGAGAAAGGAAAACAAAGAACAGAGTAGATTAAGTTGTATTATAGTTTCAGAACAAAGAAAGCACTGCTTTTTGCATGCCAAATAATACATCTGAGACTAGGAGGAAGATTAAAAATCTATATCTAAACAGTTCTTTAATAAGTTCTTTTAATAGTTATAAAACAAAAATTCCAACTTATCAAAAAGCATTGTATCTACAACTAGAAACATTTTTTTTCCTGATGCTATATAAGACAGTGTTTAAACAGTTGATACACTCTTCATCCTACAGATCCTGGAACAGCTCTTAACTAAACAGCTAAGAAGCTGCAGACAGTAATGTTTGGAGTGAACACCATTAGCATCAAATCAGGGAAAAAGACAAGGAAATCAAAAATCTGAAAGGAATATTTCATGTAAACCTAAGTATAGACTCGTGTTTTCTGTTTTCTTTTCTTTCTTTTTTTTCAAAATAGAGTTTCTCTGTGTAGCCCTGGCTATCATGGAACTCTTTGTAGACCAGGTTGGTCTGGAACTCACAGAAATCCACCTGCCTCTGCTTCCTGAGTGCAGGGTTAAAGGCGTGTGCCACTACTGCTCAGGGCTTAGGTAGAGACTCTTTTTTTCTTCTTCTTCTTTTTTTTTTTTTTGGTTTTTCGAGATAGGGTTTCTCTGTGACTTTGGAGCCTGTCCTGGAACTAGCTCTGTAGACCAGACTGGTCTCAAACTCACAGAGATCCGCCTGCCTCTGCCTCCCAAGTGCTGGGATTAAAGGCATGCACCACCACTGCCAGGCTAGGTAGAGACTCTTAACTCACAGACTTATTTTTAAAAATAGTGCTGAAGATATGGCAGAGTGCTTGCTGATGCCGGAGGTCCAGGGGTGACAAGTGTGCCTATCATCTCAGCACTTAGGAGGTGCAGGTTGGAAGATCAGAAGTTTCTCATCCCTGTCAGCTGCATGCCAAGTTATCAAGGCTAGTCTGGGATATAGAAGATACTATCTCAAACCTCACCACCAGGCAAAAAGAGAAAGAAGAAAAGCTCACATTAACTCCTCTTAAGCCATTAATACAGATCCTGGTCTGGGATGTCTGTGGGAATGACATCAGCATAGAGAGCTGGGTCCTCCTACACTGCTGTGAAAGCCTCAGGGCCCCACCAACAAGGATGCCTGGAATCATCAACCAAGGTCCACAGGAGGGCTTGAAAGCAGAGGCTTAGGAAAATGGTCTGCTTAGCAATGCTCAAGCACGAGGCCCTGCGTTCAGATGGCCAGCATCCCCATCAGAGCTGGGCACAGCACCAGGCATCTCTAATCCTAGCACTGGGGAGGCAGAGACACACTCATCTCTGGAGTTGGCCAGGCAGCCAGCCAGTTAAGCCAATCAGTGAGCTCCAGGCTCAGTAAGAGAAGCTATCTCAAAAGATAAGGGTGAAAAGGACAGAGACACCTATCATCAATCTGGCACCTACACATGCAAGTGCATACACCCATGAACAGGCATATACACACTCAAAAGCATACAGGAAGCTGGGTGTGGCAGGTCTCACACTTGTAATCTTAGTGCTCAGGTGGCTGAGGCACATAATTCTTGAGTTGGGGGGTTGGTTTGAGTACAGAGACCCTGGCTAAAAAAAAAAACAGAAGAAACACACACACACACACCACAAAAACACCCTTCATTCACATAAAGTCTGAATCAACTAAGAAAAAGCGCCCACACTTAGCCAGGCACCTTTAGGGAGGCAGAGGCAGGTGGATCTCTGAGTTCAAGGCCAGCCTGGTCTACAGAGTGAGTACCAGGACAGGTAGGACCATTTCACAGATAAAAACAAAAAACCAAACCAAACCAAAGCCCATACTTTAAATATATTACTAGGGAAATGAACTTAATATTTCTATATGAAGTTTAATACTCAAATTTCTCAAAACATGATCCTCCTAACAAGGAACTAAACACAACAATTTGCTAGCAAGGGGACAGGTCAGGAAGGTGGCTTCACCGCCTAACTATACTAGTTAATGACAAAGCCAGAACCATAAACCCACCGCCTAGTCCATGGTACTGAAGCACCCATGAAACTGCAGAGAACACAAGGCCCTTCCTCAGCCTTGTGGTACAGCTGGTACCCGGCACAGCACCTCAAAACAGCTTGTGGGAGGGCACAAGGCAGCTCCACTTTGAGGGGCTTGTTTTCTCTAGTTCCTGACAGGCAAGTATGCAACTACTAAGCTACTTCACTCCAAAACAAACCATTGTAAGCAATTTCATAATTCAAATATTTGACTAATTCAAATGTTTCCCTCCTCCAAATTAGTCTAAATTAATTAGGATTCATGATGCCAGCATTAACAAAAACAATAATTAAGTTCAACAAAATTATCGAAAAGCTTGGTATTTTGCCTGAATTTTACAAACCACCCAGGTCATTCCCAGAACTGCATATGAAAAAGAAAAACTGAAGGCAAAGCAGAGCTCAAAAAATTTGCTTTGTATCAGAAAATCTATCTTTACTATTTTATTTGAGTAATTACAGGGTTAGTGTTCTTCATCTGAAGCATTGAGGGACCACGAGTGGTTTGAGTTTTTTGAATATTTGTGTGGAATTTGCATATTGGAATCTTTCCTCTAGAAATCTTAAAACCACAATCTGGAAGGCTCCAAAACCTGTATTTTTGGGGTGTGATATGTCTTATTAGAATCTTAAGACTTGGGGTTTTTGAATTAGAGACATTCAAACTTTACTAAGTATCCCCTCAAACTGTAGGGGTTTGGTTTCGTTAAAAAAAAGGGCCTCAAATTCAAAACACAACATTTTGAAATTTTTTTAGTCAACGGCAACACAGCACAGAGTAAAAAAAAAAAAATCGCTGCTTTTATAGTACTTCCTTAATGATATCATTATCACATATATCTCTCGACAGTGTCTGTTTCCCAGCAGGAACAGGCATCAACAGTTTTGACAGCCCTGACTGCAGGACTGAGGCCAAGTCTAAACTTACCATTTTTTTGGCATGTTCTTCGCACAGGGGCGTCTGGTGTGTGACGTCGAACACTGGCACAGAGCATTGTTGTCCGTCTGCAAACCTGGCGGTACAGCTGGAGAACAGCTGCTGGGAGCGGTTCAAGAGGATGTCTGCGCTCGCAGTCAGGGAAAGCACACCGCACTGTCCAACCTGCTACTCTCCTTAATGTTCTCATTCAAGCACTGACGGGAAAATGATAATAGTGACGATATCATCATTATTTATTAACTGACGCTTCTGAGGGAGTCTACTTAGCTAGCAGGTTCTCAGGCAAGTCTCCCTTATGGCCATTCTGAACTAATTTCTGTAACTTGAATGAACAAGATCATTTTCTTGTTAACACACTCCTAAAATACCCACTAAAAAGACTGTTCTGAAAGCAACACTTAATTTTCTTAGGTATTTTATTTTATTTTACTTATGTATGAGTGTTTTGATTGAATGTTTGTATGCCAACCACACTGGAATGGATGGTTCTAAGCTACCATGTGGGTTCTGGGAACTGAAATCGGGTCCTCTAGAACTACAAGGAACATCCAGGGACATCATTACAGATGAGTAATCCCAGTATCTGGGGGAGCGAATCAAATTCAGGCCAGTCAGGCTTAGTTACATAGTGACATGGCGGGGCTATAACCTAATTAATGGTATCTCAGATGCATAAATACAAAAGGAAGATTGCAAATTAGAGCAGTTGCTAGTATGGAATACTATCAGCTGGGTGTGATGACACAAGACTGTGACATCAGCACTCAGGTCAAGAAATGACCACAAGTTCACCGGCAATCAGGGATAGATAGCAAGACCCTGTCTGAAGAAAGCAAAAATAAGCATTTTAAGTGCTACTCAGTTTTAAATATTTAATAAAAATATTTACTGACCAATAGAGTACTGACCAAGTGAGATGGCTCGGTGGGTTAAGGGAGTTTCTCTCCAAGACTAACATCCTCAGTTCAATCCACAGAACACACATAAAGGTGAGAAGAAAGTATGTGAGTTACACTGTGAGTTCAAGGGCAACTGGGACTACGGAAACCCTGTCCATAGATGATGGATGGATGAATGGATGGATGGGTGGGTGGGTGGGTGGATGGGTGGATGGATGGATGAATGGATGGATGGGTGGGTGGGTGGGTGGATGGGTGGATGGATGGGTGGGTGGGTGGATGGATGGGTGGGTGGGTGGATGGATGGGTGGGTGGGTGGATGGATAGATGGATGGATGGGTGGATGGATGGGTGGGTGGATGGATGGGTGGGTGGATGGATAGATGGATGGATGGATAGATGGATGGGTGGGTGGGTGGGTGGATGGATGGATGGGTGGGTGGGTGGATGGATGGGTGGGTGGATGGATGGATGGGTGGATGGGTGGGTGGATGGATGGATGGATGGGTGGGTGGATGGATGGGTGGGTGGGTGGATGGATGGATGGATGGATAGATGGATGGGTGGATGGATGGGTGGGTGGATGGATGGATGGATAGATGGATGGAGACAGCTAGATAGAGATAGATGATAGATGGATAGATAAGCAGATAAATAAATAAATAAAATAAAGTACCAGGTGCATGCCCTTAATCTCAGCACTTAGGAGGCAGAGGCCAGCCTGGTCCACAGAGTGAGTTCCAGGATAGCCAGAACTACACAGGGAAACCCTGTCTTGAAAAACAAATAAAAGAAGTGATTTGACTTTCCATCAACAATCATTATAGTTTCAGGGTAAAGGCCCCTAAAGGCCCAGCATTCCATTCCATTCTAATAAGAAATCCTTCAACAGCAGAACCTGCTTTGCTTCTCTGCTTAGAAGGCAGACCTCTCAACTTTAGCACAGACCCCAGTCCCTCCTTCTGGGAGACAAAGAAAGAGCTCAAGTCTGTGCACTTACGAGTCTTGCCTTTCCAAACAGTGGAATGAAAAGACGCCAAAGGATCGACAAATTTAAAGAGTAGGCACAATGACAGAACCAGAAAATTGTTCAGGACTATATGAAAACGAGAAATTATTTTAAATGTGGAATAGCTTTTATTTCACAAGGGTTTTTTGTTTGTTTGTTTTGTTTTCTGCCAGACAGGGTAGTTGTAGACACCTGGAATCTCAACAGTGACGACACTGAGGCAGGAGACTCCTGCGTTTGAGGCGAACCTCAGCTACACGGTGAAACCACGTCCCAGAGAAGCACAGCAGGGAGCACTCACTTGACTGTAAAATGAAGAACTGTGGGGGAGCAGCTGTCCAGCCTGGAGAAGACTTCAACTCCCAAACCACAGGGTTGAAAGCACAAAGCCCCAAGCAAGGCAGTGGTGGTGCACGCCTTTAATGGGGGCAGGGATGGCAAAGGCAGAGAGATCTCTGTGAGTTCCAGGCCAGCCTGTTCTAAGAAGGAGTTCACAAACAAACTAAACTAAACTAAAAAGCACATAGCCCCAAAGGAGTTAGTAATGCCAATGCCTGCTTCATGTAGTTAAAAAGGATACGCTGGAAACAATGTCTGGTGAAGGGAAGGGCCTTGTTAGAGCACTGTTCACCCTTCACTGTTCCGCTGCACGCTGCTGGCTCCACCTCCTTCAACTTGGTCTGGCTGCAACTAAAGAAGGAAAAATGCAAAATTCATTTTAAGTGCTCTAAGAATCCAGGGTAACTTTTTTCTTTTAAACGTTTATCTTGTTATGTATATGTGTGTGCATGAACAAGCACAAGTCACGGCAAAGCTGTAGAGGTCAGAGGACAACTCCAGGGAGTTGGGTCTCTCTTTCTACCACGTAGGTTCTGGGGAAGCAAAGACAAGTCAGTATGCTGGATGGCAAGCACCTTTACTCATTGCCCATCTCCTTTGGCCCCCAGGATAAACATTCAACACTATGTTTCTGCAACACCCGTACTGTAACTATCTTTACTATGCATAGTCATTAAATACAAGTAATGAATTAAAGAAAGCAGGTATTTCAGTTATCAAATGTGTTATTTAGCTGACCCACTAACATTCAAGGCAAACAGCTCCATCACAGCGATTTTCAAATAACCTATCTGGTTGTTTGGTTTTATCTTGTTTTCTGAGACAGGCTTTCTGCCTTCACCTCCTGAGTGCTAGGATTATATATATGACCTAGACACTCTCCCTTAGTTTTTTGGTTTGGTTGATTTTTATTTTTATGTTTTTGGTTTCTTTGGAGACAGGGTCTCTTTATGTAGCTCGGGGCTAACATAAAAGGAGCTGTACAGCAGACTGGTCTCAAACTCACAGCAATGCTGCTTCGGATTCCCCAGTATATAAATCACATCACAGCATAAACCACTATGCTCAACTCATGGGTTTTCTCTTGTCACTGAGTAAAGACCATGAAGCGGACAGAGCCTCTTCACTACGTGGCATCTTACACAGATTCTCCTAAGCCTCATCGAAGCAGAGACCAAAGGCACCATTAGCTGCCAGGGCTGCCGTGAGTAGAGATGGGACACACCTGTAACACCCGTGGAGACAGGGCGTACAGTAATCCACTGAGCTGGTTTTCAGTCTCTACTGTCATCACGACCACTGGGCCACCTAGTGCCAGAACACAGTAAGTCTACAGAGGTGCCTGAGCACCTAACTGGGAGAGGGAACATGAACATGCAGATATGGTTAAGCTACATATACATCCTTCAAAATGTGCTTACTTGGAACCTATCCAAAAGCTTGCTACATTTGTAACTCCATGCTTCATATTTAAACGCTATCTTGACTTGGATCACTTGGCATACTCTATCAGAAGGCAATGTCTGCAGCAGGCCCTCCATTCAGTCATCAGCACTACATAAGCCAGGCGCTCTGACACAAGCCCACAAGAGCAGCACTGGGAAGGCGCTGGAAGCACTGGAGGAGCCTTGGCTATGAGGGTCTCTCAAAAAACAAAGGAAGAATTGTAAGCACCAGCAAGATGGCTTAGTAGGTAAACATGCTTTCACCAAATCTGCAAAATCTGCTGAGTTCTATCCCCAAAACACACATGGTAAAAGGACAGAACTGGCATCTTCAGCTTACAGACACAAATGAGCACATAAAGACACACACAGACACACACACACACCTTAAAAACAGAAAAAGACCTCACAAAGGTAGAAAAGGAAATCATGGGAATATTAAATATCTTGCTGGGATGGGTGGCATGGGCTTTTAATCCCCACAGTCAGGAGGTAGAGGCAGGAGATTCTCTGTAAATTTGAGGCCAGTCTGGTCTACATCAAGAATTCCAAACCAGCCAAGGCTACATAGTAAGACCCTGTCTCAAAACAAACAAACAAGAAGAATATTCAGTTTCTTTTTTTAAAAATATTTATTTATTTACTTATTTATTTATACAATATTCTGTCTGTGTGTATGTCTGCAGGCCAGAAGAGGGCACTAGACCTCATTACAGATGGTTGTGAGCCACCATGTGGTTGCCGGATATTGAACTCAGGACCTTTGGAAGAGCAGGCAATGCTCTTAACCACTGAGCCATCTCTCCAGCCCCGAATATTCAGTTTCTTTTCAGCGGTGCTGGGACTGGCACTAAGACCACATGCACGCAGCCAAATCGATGACCATCCACACCTTCAGCTCATACTCACAATATTTTTACACTGCCCCTAAAAGACGGCTACACTATTAACTTCAGCCCGTAAAAACAATGTACTAATTTTTCATAAGGAAGGCTGTATTATATTAGCAGCTAAGCTATATAATCCAAGCTGCTTGGTCTAGATTTTTATACAACATGGTACTCAATATAAAATAGATAATTTCTCTAAACACTTAAATAATCTAAGCTATCTACCAAGCCTAATGTGCAATACAGTTCCTCATTTTTTCTTTATTTTTGGGGGTCTCATGTAGTCTAGGCTGCTTTTAAGTTCAAGTTCATTAAGTAGCTAAGAATGATCATGAATTCCTGAGGCCTACATCCTAAATTCTAGGATTACAAGCTCCTCTCTCTCTCTCTCTCTCTCTCTCTCTCTCTCTCTCTCTCTCTCCCTCTCGTCATAGGCTTGCGGGCACATGACTCTCCCTGCTGGGCCAGCTCACTGGCTTCCTTACGGTTCAGTTTACCAATCTCTCTCACAAACCCAAACTCTACAGACAAGTTATTAAATAACGGTGTCATCCAAATAGCACTAAAAAAGCAAAGAGAATTACCACTGCTTCATTAATCATAGGTGGCATGATGGATGCCAATGACACCGAGTCAGTTGAAAAGCTGTTTGCTGGTTTGTTTACCTGTACTGGGAACTGAACTCAGAACCTCATGCATCCTGGTCAATCACTCAACCACTGAGCCACATCCCCCAGAGTCCAACTTGGTATTTTATCATTTGATAACATTTATCATTCATTAAAAAAAAATCACTAAAGTTGGTTTAGGAGGTGTTCTGAAAACTACTGCATTATCATACGTGGATTAAACTCACAGAACCACCAAAAAGAAAAAAGTCATAAATACAGTTTTCCACACGACCAAATTGCCCCAAACTCAATTTTTAGACCCCCACACCTTTGACAAGATTATTACCATGTATTAGGACTGAGCTATACAGTGCCTACGTACAGAAATCGCTTTCTGCTGGAGACAGAACTTCACTGACTATACAGTGACAGCTTTTGGTCCTAAGTGTTAGACACCATTATTTTACGAACGCTGAAGTAACAAACAGTCTCCCCGGAGAGAACAGACCTGTGCGTGTGACATCCTGCTCCTCTGCTCACCAGCTGGAGCTCTCAGAACTACATACACCACGGAAATGACTGTCTACAGCAGGAGACTTAATTAAGATCAATTAAGAGTGCATAAACTAATACTTTTAAACACCCAATAGTCCAATGAGTGACATATTTTCCTTATGTAAACTTACTTTTTCCAACACATATGCACTTAAAGGTATCTTCTGGAATTATAAAAACTAAAAAGAATAAGCCTTTCTTTAAATCAGTGAGGAGCTACATATCTAAATTTCGGAAGCAGTGCCCTAGCCGGTAAGCAGCAGGGGCACATGCCTGCAGCTCCTGTGCTCGGAAGTGAGATGGTTTCCCTAAGCTTAAGGCCAGACTGCTCGACATATCAAGCTCCAAGCCAGCCAAGGCTACATGACAAGACTGTCCCCCAACAGAAGAAAAGGAAAAAAGACATTTCCTTAAAGCAAGATGTTTAACTCAATTCAATGTTTTAAATGCGTATTTCAGATAAAACTAAAAACAATTATAACCACAATACATACATACACACACACACACACACACACATACATATTTATATTTGAGAATTATGTATAAATAAGATCAGAAAATTTAATCTACCTTTTTTGGGGTTAAAAATAACATTTTTGCTTTTTTGTTTTTTGAGATAGGGTTTCTCTGTGTAATCCTAGCTGTACTGAAACTCACTCTGTAGGTCAGGCTGGCCTCGAACTCAGAGATCCACCAGTCTCTGCCTCCCAAGTGCTGGGATTAAAGGTGTGTGTCACTACCATTTGGCATATAAACTACTCTTAAAAGGTATTTAGCTGATTTTTATTACAATTTCTTCATAAAACTGATTTCTAATATGCAGACTTTTATTTAACAAATTATGCAAGTCCTATAAAACCATATTTCCAAATGAATCTTTGACAATGTAGGACAGTGGGCATGATATACTTTTAAAGGGAAAAACTGGACACAGATCTTTTTGCGTTGAGTGATTTTTCTTTCGTTTGTTTATGTGGTCTGAATCTCACAGAGCTGATGCTGAACTTGAACTCAGGACCTTCTTGTCTCAGCCTACACAGTGCTGAAATTCCAAGTGTATGACACCATACCAGATTAAAAAAATAAACTTTTCAACAATACAGGTCAATTTTATCTTAAACACATAAAACTGAGAATGTCTAACGGCAGATATCTATATTACACATTCAGTAAAATCCCTATTTCCCTGGATACAATGGCACATGCCTGAAATCTCAATACCTAGGAGACCGAGAAAGAGCATAAATTCAAGGCCAGCCTAAGTGTATAGTGAGAGCCTGTCTCAATAAACAAATAAACAAAGAAACATAATTAACTATGTGAATATATAAGGTAATATATACATTAAAAGAAAGGATTTAAAAGGAAAAGGCATAACTAACATGAGAAAAATATATTTTTATTATAAAATGAAAATACTGTTTACCTTTATAGTTAAAAATATATAATTTTTTAAAAAAACTATAATTATGTCTTTGAATAACAGGAAAAATGTTAAGTGTTCAATTTTGTTTTGTTTATAAGACAGCCAATGTTCTCAGCCAGATGAAGTGGTATCTGCTACATCCCAACACTCAGGAGGCTGAGACAGAAGGATCCAGGTTTTGAAGTTAGACTGGATAACACTGGTTCAAAAAGTTGTTTGCAAGAGAAATAACATTCTCACATATCTTCAATGAATAAATTCTAATGCAACTCCAGGAAGAAAAGAAACAGTCAATGCTTCACTTCACTGCCGGCCAAGGATTGCAGTCCTGCTACCCAGAGAGAAAACCAGACACAGTGCTCAACTACGTGGGACTTAGATGTTCGCCTCACCTAGCCTAAACAATTCCTCAGAGCTTATATAAAAGGAAACAGAAGGACAAGGCCTGGGAAGCACGGGAAGCTGGGAACTGAGGCTCTAACCTGGCTTGACCACACGCAGCTCTCCGCAGTTCTTGGATCAACTGGCCAGTGCACTCGGGCTCTTTGCTGGCTGCCTGCAGCAGCGCTTTTCTCAAAGTGTGCCGGCATTTCTTTTGTCGAGACTCTGCCCGCTCCAGGCGGCAGAGGTGCTTGTATTTCTGCTGAAAATAAGTGCAAAGTTGGGTCACCCTGGAGCTCCTGCTCTCCACGTCATCGGCATCCGACCTGGAAGTGCAGAGAGAAAGGTGGAAACTGATCACAGGGAAGTTCATATAAGACAGAGGAAGTGAAAATGAATGTGTGTTGGTGCATGCACAGGTTTAAAACTCCTGTGGCATCTATCTGAACAACAACTTAGTAAGCTAGAGAGATCCCTGTAGCCCTGAAAACAAGTGGAGAATTCGGTCATCAACTGGGCAGCAGTACTCAGCTCAGCACGCCTTCAGCAGGCACTGTGGCACCAGAGCAGGACGGGAGCATGTGGTGCAGGAACCATGGGACTGCCATTGCTGCTACAGAGGCATCTGACGGGCTTTCACAGCTTCTAACCATGCTAACGGACTGCTGACAGACGGAACATCTACGCTCAGGGCTGTGCTGTGCTGTGCTGTGCTGTGCTGGGCTGTGCTGGGCTGTGCTGTGCTGTGCTGGGCTGTGCTGGGCTGTGCTGGGCTGTGCTGGGCTGGGCTGGGCTGTCAGTATCGCCTACCACCACCAATGGCAAAGATCGCAACTTTTCTATAGGACAAATTTGACCTTATTCTTTATTGTCAGCAACAATGCACATCACGTAAGGACTGGTGTTAGTTGATCTTTTTTTCTACTGTAAGGAAACGCAAGACAAGCACTCCCAGAGACTGTGCGTCAATGCTACTTATTTTTAGCCTCAGGTTTGTTTTGGTTTTAGGGCGGTGCTTTATTTCCTACCAGCCCTAGCAAGCTACTTCATGCACTTCCATTTAGAGTATCTCCTAGAAACATCCTTTGCAGCACAGCCTCTACTAGAAATACACAAATTAAAGGCTCATACTTCGGCATCCACTGTGGTCTGTTATGCTAATGGCCAAAGGAGAGCAAAGTGAAAAGGGGTTATGATGAGATTTACACACGATAAATACACTCCCAAATGGAATAGTGCCAAAGAAGCAAGACTCAGGAACTAACATAGTGGGGCAGACGGAACGAGGCTTCCTATATCTAACACAGGGGAAACAATCGGAAGCTTGGGCTTGGAGACACACAAATGTATGCTCAATATCCAGGAGGCAGAAGCAGGAGGATTACCTTGAATCCAAGTCTAGGCTGGGGGATTTGTGGTGAGCCTTGTCTCAAAAAGAGGCACAGTGGCACAAGCTTGCAATTCCAAATTCACCCAGTGATTTCCAAGCTAGTCACAGGTATAGCGAGCTGCGTGGAATCACAACTGATGGAGATGTATAATCAACTCCTATGGCTAAAGTGTGACCTATGCTATGATCACGCAATGATTATCAGCTGCTTGCATATGCGTGAACCTATGGACAGTGCCCACCTGGCAATCCAGGATTGGCAGCCCGTGCCTACTTAAGGGCTGGGAGAGAGGAAAAAGGAGAGAGGTCAATGGAGAGGGAGGGGAAGAGAGGAAGAGAGAGAGTGAATAAAGGTCCTGGAATAAACTGCAGTGAGAAGAGCTCTGGTGTTCGCGTCATTCCTTGCGGGACGAGGGTGGCCGTGACAGTTGGTGGCCCGTACGGGGAACCTCCAAACCTCTCTCCGTGGAGCCCAGAACTTGCTGCAGTCAGGGGGTGCACCAAATAATCCTCAAGGTAAAGATTGGGGACCCGCAACAAAAAGCGGGTTTTCCGCTCTCGCCGGTAGAAGAAGGGAGAGTGGGGGTAATAGGGCCGCGACCAAAGCGGACAGTTTAAAGTCAGAGCCACGACCAAAGTGGACGGTTTAAGAATGGGATTTTAGAATGGGCGCTTCAACATCACATCTGATTTTTCTGGCTCTTAACGAGCTGTTACGGAGCGCTTTGGAGAGGTTTTTGGTTAAATGTGACACAATTGCTCTTTGGTTTGCCGTCTCTGGCATCCTGGGATAGGCTTGGTAGAGATCTGGATTTTGCCGCTGAACAAGGTATGCTAAGGAAGGGAATTATATTCATGTGGTTTGAGTTACCGAGAGCTCCGGAGTTTGAAGTGAAGTGTGAGAAGCTGCAGCTCCAAGACCAAGGAGCTCTAGGCGGCTCCAAGGCCAAGCAGCACTGAGGGTTTGCAAAACTGCAAACACCAGGACCTGCCTCAGGGCATAGAAGCACAACTGTGGTAGGATCTGTGGGCCTGAACCTCTGTCCTAGCCCTGAGCGACTGCTCAACCCCACCACACCTCCACCTTTCAGTTCGGTGGGGAAGTCTCAGCCTCTCCCCTGCTATCTCTGGGACCAGAGAAAATGGCAGTAGATTGTAGTAAATACCCGTAAGAATGCAACGTCCCCGCTCAGCAGGGAGTAGCCAGAGAGATTGACAATGCCCAAATTCCCTAAAGCGCGGTTTAAGCGGGGACCCTTTCAGAGCAGAAGCAGGATCAGCTGGGTTGCTAGGGAAGCCAAAGAGGTGCACGAGGGAGAAGGTGTCTTCCATGCACTCAGCTGGACAAGAATGAATGTGCCACGGGGGTATGGCAGCTGGGGTATGTTAAGTCTATACCTTAGTCTGTCAGACATTTCTATCCATCCGGGGCTGTTTGTGATATGAAAAATTTAAAGAATTGTCTAGCTATCTTTTAGGTAATTGGTCTGGTGAATTCGAACAACAACTGGAAAAGTTGCGAGTGACGATTGTGACTGCAGATTCCACACGCATGGTTACCACCTGGCAGAAGACTATCCTCCTGGATCACTCCATGGATCATCTGAAGGAGTGGGCGGGAATAGGAGCCCTGGCAGGCTTGATGGTGCTTGCCTCCCTGATATGCCTATGGTGCATTTGTCACATAAGGGTTTCACAGCATCGCAATGCAGTTATGATCATTCAGGCCTTCACGGCCATTGAAGCAGGACAGTCCCCTCAAGCTTGGTTATCTATATTTGAGCACAGGATGCGAGGCTTGCACACTGCACTTGAGGTTAGCATACATCAGCCTCAAGAAGAGCAAGTCTGATTGCATGTGGGTTGGTGTCTAGCTCCCACCTCTGTAAAAAGGCACCGGACAGGTCTAGTGTTCTCTGAGTGGATGACACCTGGACAAACACTAGTACATGTTTCATTTTTAACAGAGATCGGACCTATACTCTTACCTGTGGCTTTACAAAACAGAAGGGGGAACTGTAGTGAGCTGCGTGGAATCACAACTGATGGAGATGTATAATCAACTCCTATGGCTAAAGTGTGACCTATGCTATGATCACGCAATGTTTATCAGCTGCTTGCGTATGCGTGGGCCTATGGGCAGTGCCCACCTGGCAATCTGGAATTGGCAGGCAGCCCGTGCCTACTTAAGGGCTGGGAGAGGTTTGCCGGGGAGAGAGGAAAAAAGAAGAGAGGTCAACGGAGAGAGAGGGGAAGAGAGGAAGAGAGAGTGAATAAAGGTCCTGGAATAAACTGCAGTAAGAAGAGCTCCGGTGGTCGCGTCATTCCTTGCGGGACGAGGGTGGCCATGACACACAGGTGCCTACTAAGAGTGCGCCTGGGAAGGGAAAATCTAAGAGCATCTTAAAATTTCAGATTCCCAGGACTTACCCCAGATCTGCTGGGTCAGGATGTTAATGAGGTAGAGCCTAAGAACAGCAAATTTTTTAATGGTTTCTCAGAGTGTCATAGTAGGTCTATAATTCAGCATTCTAGCTGGGCTAATTAGCGCTATAAACACCCTATGTATGAGCATGGCAACTGTGAGCCTACGGTGAGGTAGAAAGTGTTACCAGTGCTCACTGTTGGACAAAAGGCTCAGTCTGCAAAGGAGACAGCAGCAGAGCTAACCTTGAAGGAAGTATCCATGTTAGGGATGGGAACAGGAGAGCTCACAAACACCAAACACTACTGAGACAGGACGGCATACGCAAGGGCTAAGCAACTGGGCTAAGAGGGTATGGAGTAGCGGGACTGAGGACAGTGAAATTTTCAAAACCTAAATCCCAGCACTCAGGAGGAGAGGCACGCAGATTTCTGAGAGGTGAGTTCGAGGATAGTCAGGGCTACACAGAGAAATCCTATCTCAAAAAAGGGGGAAAAAAGAGAGGGAGGGAGGGAGGGAGGGAGGGAGAGAGGGAGGGAAGAGAGAAGGAAAGTTAATTTAATGCCAAGGCTGATGGAAAAGGCCTATAACTCCAGCTACTCAGGAGGCTGAAATGGGAGCATCACAAGTTCAAGTCCAGCTTGACTTGTAGAGCAAATTCTGATCCAGGATGGGCAATTTAGCAAGACCCTGTCCCAAAATTAAGTAAAGAAAAGATCTGACATATAGCTCAGCAGTAAAACTTTTGCCTAGTGTTTAAGAGGTTCGGTTACCAGGAAAGGAGAGCGTGGGGACAGTTAAACTTTTGGTGGTCCTTGCCTTTAATGCCAGCACTCAGCTTCTCAGGAGGCTGAGGCAAGAGGATCTCTCTTGAGTTTGAGGCCAGTCTGGTCTACGGAGTGAGTGCCAGGACAGCCAGGGCTATGTAAAGAGATCCTGTCTCAACAAACAAAATGGTACCGATGGGCTAGAGAGTCAGTCAGTGGTAAGAGCACTCACTGTGTACACAGGAGGACAAGTGTGGAATCCTTTGTAGGCAGTTGAGTAAGAGAATGTTTTGTTCTTGCAGAGGACCTGGTTTTCATTCCCGACACTCACATGGTAGCTCTCAACTAGTCAGAGCTCCAGCTTCAGGGTACTCTTCAGGTACCAGGTATGTATGTGGTAGATATAGATACATATATGCAGGCAAAACACTCATACAACAAAATAAATCTTTTAAAAAATGGGTATGGGGCTGGGTGGTGGTGGTGCACATCTTTAATCCCAGCACTAGGGAAAATCAGAGGCAGGCAGATAGATCTCTGTGAATTTGAGGCCAGTTGGTCTACAAAGCAAGTTCCAGGACAGGCCCCAAAGCTACAAAGAAACCCTGAACAATGACAATGAGGACTACTGAGAACTCAAGAACAATGGCAATGGGTTTTTGATCCTACTGCACGTACTGGCTTTGGGGGAGCCTAGGCAGTTTGGATGCTCACCTTACTAGACCTGGATGGAGGTGGGTGGTCCTTGGACTTCCCACAGGGCAGGGAACCCTGATTGCTCTTTGGGCTGATGAGGGAGGGGGACTTGATTGGGGGAGGGGGAGGGAAATGGGAGGCGGTGAAGGGGAAGAGACAGAAATCTTTAATAAATAAATAAAATAGTTATAACTATCAAACATAATCGTGTAAGGTATGTTTTCAAGGTCATGTAGAGATACATTTTAGATAGACATGTCATCTTCAAACACTTCAAAGACCTCCAGAATGTGACATTTAAAATGGATTTATCGGGCTGGAGAGATGGCTCAGGTTAAGAGCACTGGCTGCTCTTCCAGAGGTTCTGAGATCAGTTACCAACAACCACATGGTGGCTCACAACCATCTGTAATGAGATCCGGTGCTCTCTTCTGGCATGCAGGTGAAACACGATATATATTATATAAAATATATATTATATATAATAAATGAATCTTAAAATGTTTTAATAACAAAGTTTTTCATGACAATGAGACACATATGCTCCTAGCAGCACCAATTTACTTCAAAAAGGATAATGGGCACTGAAGACCCTCCATATGGAATTTGCTTTTGTGTGTGTGTGTGACAAAGTCAGCTATTGGGCAAGAAACTGCCCTTGCCTCAAATGTTGACAGTATGCTGTGCAAATTGAACAAACAGGATGCAAAAGGTGACTACCGAAGTTTGCCAAGACAAGGTAGGACAGTTCTTCAAAATTCCTGCTTCTCAAAATAGTCTGTCAGATATTCTAGGCCTCTAGGCCTAAAATGGATACCCCAATATTGCAGAGGAACCCTGGGGTGACTGAACAGGCAGCCAGATGTCTCTGTCATTTCTTTCAGTTTTGGAAGTTGTTTGCAGGGCACTTCCTCTTTACTAAGGTAACATCATATCCTTCTGGGGTCTTTGATAGAGTTGAAGACTAGACAGTCTTAATTATAGATTTCCTTAGTTATGATAGAAGGTAAATTAGGTACAGAGCTTGACTCATCAAGATAGAATAAATAATGAAATATTTTCTTCAAATATGCCAAATACAAATAGACTGGATACCATAAATATAGTTCTTACCTGATAATTGTTCTTAGTATTTATAGTTTCATTATGTTAGAGTTAAAAAAACCTTTCCTTTCTATTTAGACAAAAAGGAGGAAATGTTGTAGAACAATCTTTCTGCACATTAGATTTGTCACTAGGATTGGTTTCATGAAAAGCTGAACAGCTAATAGTCAGGATTCTGGAAGCAGAGAAGATGCAGGGGAATAGGGTGGAGACAGATACAGAGGAAACAGGATGTGCAGATGGGGTAACAAGCCATGAGCCACATGGCAGCATGTAATTAATGGAAATAGGTTAAGTTTTAATCGCATAAATTAACGGAAATGGGTTAAGTTATAAGGGCTAGTTAAAAATAACCCTAAGCTATTGGCAGAGCTTTCATAGTTAATAAGTCTCCATATCAGGATTTGGGAGCTAACAAGAGGGACAGAAAAATTCACCTACAGGATCAGTGTCTGATGTCAAATGAGGTGGCCTCTATTTTGTTGGGTATTTATGTAAATCCCAAATTTTTGTTTTGTTTTGTTTTTTGTTTTTCGAGACAGGGTTTCTCTGTAGCTTTGGAGCCTGTCCTGGAACTAGCTCTTGTAGCCCAGGCTGGCCAACTCACAGAGATTCATGCACCCCTGACTCCCAAGTGTTGGGATTAAAGGCATGCGCCACCACCACCCGACTAAATCCCAAATTTTTAACTAAATTATTAGCTCAGGTCATGAGCAATATCTTCTGGCCCTGCCAACAAAGATGTCACATGATTTGCTCACAATGCACTAACTCTTTATATTGCTAAAGTAGTCACTAAATTTTTGTAATATTATTACAAAGAAAACGAACATTCATTATCCACAGACCCTTGACAAATACCTTTATAAAACACACTGGGAAAACACTAAAGAGGACTATAAAAACACTGAGCCAGTTTTTTACGAGGTGAGCTGAACCAAAGAGTCACCTCCAGAAGCACTTAGCACAAGAAAAGCATCACACATGGTCAATCCTGCAGAAGAGAGTGAGATACAAAAGCAGTACTTTGCAGGGCCTGTGCTCAGGAGGCAGAAACAGGAAGTCAAGTTCAAGGCAACCTGGGCCACTGAGAGCTCCAGGTCAGCCAAGGTTAGAGACCCTGTCTCAAAACAAACAAACACTATTTCTAACTACCAGCTAAGAAGCACAGTGAGACTCTAGGTGGCCCTCAGTGATCAAGTTCTTTAGCCTCTGGGTATGTGGTCCACTTTTATAAGATGGAATTGCACCAGATACTCTCTAAGATCCCTTTCAATTCTATTCTATTAAACTGTACTCATCAGTGAATGGGAAAGACAGGGAAACGAATTTAGCAAGAAAACCTCAAAATTAACTTTGTTCAAACAATATAATCATTTCTTCCCAAAATGAACTAACTTTAATTTTGCCTGACTATACCTAATTATAGCATAGTAAAATTAAAGACACTGGCACAGCCAGGAAGAAAGGCAAACTGCTACACACCCACAAAAGAAAACAAAGGAAAACTTACGTGTGTCTTTCGTATCTGAGTGTTTCTCGGATGGACCATGCGACCTGGTAAGGTGAGGCCTGGTCGGAGTCCTCCGGCTCTTCTCCGCTCTCCTCAGACCAGTCCAAGCCTGCAGCAGACAGTGGGAACGGAGAGGGCTGAGAAGGCTCATCAACAGCAAGGCAACGAGTCTGACAAATATCTAAAATAAACCTGAGACCCACATGGCAGGGCAGCACCTCCACAGGAGGGTAGTGCTACACACGACCACCATCAAGAGTAAACACTGAGACTGAAAAATAGTAAAACCCTGACAAAAACACTGCCTAAAGTCCAGCAGTGGTGGCACATGCCTTTAATGCCAGCACTTGGGAAGCAGAAGCAGGTGGATCTCTGTGAATTCGAGGTCAGCTTGGTCTACAAAGCAAGTTCCAGGACAACTACGGCTACACAGAGAAACCCTGTCTTGAAAAACAAAAAAACAAAACAAATATCTAAAATACATAAAGCCCTCCAAATGAATTCCCTTCTATTCTTATTCTTACAAAGATGTACGACAAAACACACCCGGCTTTAAAAACATGTCATTTTAACAGTACGGCTGTGCTGGCCTCCAAGAATAAACTTCATAATGTGCTTTGTTAATCATCTGGAAACAGCACAAGCAAAGAAACTGAGTTCCCAGTACATAAAAGGTAAAATTATTCAAATATCAAAATGTCATACATTAAATTAAAAAAGAGTCATACATTAAAACAATATTTTAAACGAGAAAAGGCCATCAAGGTCAAAGGTGGCAGTGCAGCTAACTGGGACAGCACCTGACAAGAACGCACCAAGTACTGGGTTCAATCCCCAACACAACCTAAAGCCAAGTATGGCAGCACATGCCTGTGATCCCAGCCCTTGAAAGATGGAGGAAAGGCAGGCCAGAAGTTCAGTGTCATCCTCAGCTCTCAAAAAAAAGAACAGTAAACAGGGCAAGGAAAGCCAGACATGGCGGCTCATGCCCTTCACCTCAGCATCTGGAAGGGAAAAGCAGAAGCAGAGGCAGGTGTGTATCTCTGTGGGTATGAGGTCAGCCTCATCTCATGTTCACTTCCAAGTCAGCCAGGGCTACATGATCAAAGACTCTAACTCAAGAAAAAGAAGAGTAGTGAGAAAAGTAATTTATATGTTCAGGCAAGAAAAAGTGCCAATGGAGTCACGCAGCGAAAGTGGCCCTGGGCAACATGAAGACAGGTGTGTTTCTCCACTGTAAAACTAACCGTCAGCAAAGCAAATCTTGATCTTGGCCTCATATCTCCTGTTCTAACAGCTAACTGACAGAACCAGCCCAGGGGCCCATAAATGTGATCCCAGTGCAGACATGGCCAGTGGCCAGAGCGCATCACAATCTCCTCCTGAGTCTTAGGTCTCTAAGCCACTGAACTTTAAAAACACAAAAAAGGAAGCCAGTTGGCGGTGGCATGCACCTTTAATCCCAGGCAGAGACACACGGATCTGTTAGGAGAGTTCTGGGACAGCTACGGCAGTTACGGAGAAACCCTTTCCCAAAACAACAACAAAAATAAGCAAGCAAACAAAAACACCAACAAAAATATTAGATTATCTTTGGTAAACTTTATTCAAAAAGTGAAGAAAAATGAGTCAGGCAGGCACAGTAGTGAAGTCATTCACAGGGCCCTTGACAGCCTAAGGACACTCTTAATTCAAGGTCAAAACAGTCTACAAACAAACAAAAAAATCAGGAACTGGCAGCTCACCAGGATCCTTGCAGTCAAGACTAAGGACCAGAATCCAATCCTCGGAAAGAACATACTGTCTGACCTCAGCGTGTGCTCCACAACTTTTATACATACGCGCGTGCGCACGCACGCACGCACACACACACACACAATAAAGGCATCCAAAAAATCAGTCTTACAGATATTTGAAAACAGGTAACAGTAAGGAGACGGGAGGCTTTACAAAAATAACTGTGGCTGGGAGGTAGTGGCGCACGCCTTTAATCCCAGCACTCGGGAGGCAGAGGCAGGTGGATCTCTGTGAGTTCGAGACCAACCTGGTCTACAAGAGCTAGTTCCAGGACAGGCTCCAAAACCACAGAGAAACCCTGTCTTGAAACTCCCCCCCCCCACCAAAAAAAAAATAACTGTGTAAACAGTTCTAGTCATCAGTAAAAGTGTCAATTAAAAAAATGGATGAAAAGGTAAAGAAATAAATACAAAATAAATACTGGTTCATTAACCATGCAGACAAACATTCAACTATCTTATTAAATATCGTCTGTAAAGTCTCAGGAGTCCGAATGTCAGCACCACTTTCCAGCATGACTGAGACACTGCATGCGCTCACACCTGTGTGATGCAGACAACACGGCGGTGCAAGGGCAGAAGACCGCCGCTTCTTCACCAGGCGGCGGCACCAAACCCAAATCGTCACCAGGTTCTTCACAAGGCACCTCTTGGCATTGGAAAGGCAAAGAAATGGCAGAGTATAGGGAGTTTTACGTACAAGTGCTCTTACCTGTTAAAAATTATCTACTTTATTACATCTCAGCCCAAGCACTATCTAGCATACTGTGTGACTAAGCATGAAATACCCGTGAAGCTCCTCTGCTGTGTGAGCAAAGATACTGATGACTGTTTAGCTGCAGCCTGGATCACCAGCTTTGGTTTCATTGAGGTTAGTTTTAGTTTAGACTTTCTTACTTTTGAAATAAAGTCTCCTGTAGCCTAGGCTGCCCATTAAGGTAAAAAGATGACCTTAAACTTCTGATCCTCCTGTCTCAGGCATCTATCCTCCACCAGGTTTGTGCAGTTCTGGGGATCAAACCAAGTGTCCCGTGGTTCCTATGAGCACCTACCAGAGCTACATCCACAACCCTCGGCGTCATTATTCTCTTTCTTTCAATGCCTTTCACTGATGCGTGTGAATGAATGTCAGAGCAGAGAACATGGAGGAAGACGTCCTCTGGCTTCCACACTCACATGTGCACATATGATCTTGCATGTACGTGTACACACACACACACACACACACACTTACTACACACAGAAAAAGGAAAAGGGCCAGCGGGACGACTCAGAGGCTAAAGATCCTCACGGCACAAGCCGGGCCCATGCCCTCTCTGGAACCCAGATGAAGGCTGGAGAGAACCAGCACAGAGCTGCCCTCTGACCTCACACACGCACCACACCACAGGCTCTGGCCCCTCCCATCCACACCATTCTCGCAACTCTAGTTTTCATTATATAGTTTAAGGAAAAATTAAAGATGTGATACTAATTACTTTGCTGCTAATCTACAATAGTTTAAAGTAATACAAACTGGAAATAATTTAAATTCAGCCATGACAAATTATGCTATATGAAAAAATATTAACTTGAAAATACATTATGCAAGATTTTTTAAAGAGGTTCTGAATAAGTATGTATAAAAGGAACTCAATTTAACCTACTTTATAGAATTTACCAAGGTCATTTACAAATGGATATTTAATAGATTTGGGGATATCTTATTATTTTACTTACTATAATCCAGAAGTTTTATTCAGATAATTTAATACCAGGTAAAAAAGTTAAGAGGTCTAGAAGAAAGCCCACCACTCTCATTTACAATAACACCTCCCATCCCAATCCATTCTCCATGGGTAGGCAATGTCAACAGCCTGGGATCTGTATTTCACCCATACAGGCAAATATCTATGCACATACATGAGCAATGGATATACTGATGCTTCTGCATACTTCCTCTGTCTACCTAGTTCTTACAAAAGAGAACATAATCCTTCTTGACTTTTTCCCACCAGTAAGTCACGTTAAACACAGCCCAGTGAGACTCACTCTTCACAACAGCTGTGCCACAGTGTATGAAACATGTATGCACATGACACACTCAGGTTAGCGTCAAACGGCTAATTCTGTAAGCAATTATACAATAAACACTGCACATTTATCATACATTTCGATATTCACAGCTAGGATAGAATCCCAAAAGTGAACTTAATAACTATGTATATAAAATACTATATATTATATATGTATTTGTATATGTGTAGCTTGGGGGTTTATTTTACTATTTTATGTGTATGAGTGTTTGCCTGCTTGTATGTCTGTGCACTATGTACATGCTTGGTGCCCATGGAGGGCAGGGAAAAGCACCAGATCATCTGGAACTAGAGGTTCAGGAGGCTGAAAGCCACAATGTGGGTACTGGGAATTGAACACAAGTTCTCTCCATACAGTTTTACTTTTTAAGATTATTTTTTAAGAGTATATAAGAACTGGGTGGTGGTGGTGGTGGTGGTGCAAACCTTTAATTCCAGCACTCAGGTGGCAGAGACAGGTGGATCTCTTGCCTGGTCTACAATGCAAGTTCCAGGACAGGCTGCAAAGCTACAGAGAAACCCTGTCTCAAAAAGAAGAGTATATAAGAGCATGCCACATATCTGTGGGTACCCTTGGAGTGCAGACGAGGGGACTAGAATCTTTGGAACTGGAGTCCCCCAAACTCAGGTGCTACGGAAGAGAGGCAAGTGTTCTTAACAGCTGCATCATCTCTTACTGATTTTTGAAACAGGGACTCACTCTAAAGTCAAGATAGGCTTTAAACTCAAGCTAATTTTCTTGCCTCGATCTCCAAAGTGCTGGACCTACAGCGAGGAGTCAGAAGCCCTAAACTACTTACTTTGTAATTAGCTGAGTCACCCTGTTCACCAACAATGTACAAATATCACGTGTTCACCAAGGGGATTTTTCCAGTCTGGCAATTCACTGTTTTATTTCCCAGCCTGCTATGGGAATTGAGGCTTCCACTGACCACTCATATTTCTTTTCTGCTTTTTCAAGATTGGGTTTCTCTAGGTAGCCCTGGTTGTCCTGGAACTCCCTCTGTAGACCAGGTTGGCCTTGAACTCTTAGAGATCAGTACGCCTCTGCCTCTGCTCTCCAGTGCGGGAATTAAAGGCGCTCGTCATCACTTCCCAGACTGCACTTCTATTCCTCCTGCTATTCATATTCTTTACTGGCATTTCTACTGCTACCATATCAAGCAAATAATTCTTCCTATAGGTAGGATTTTAGCTCCTAACACATTCAAAACTATGTTCTAGGGGCTGGAGAGACGGCTCGGCAGTTAATAAAACATACTGATCTTGCAGAAGACTTGATTCAGTTCCCAGCAGCCAGGGAATCCAACATTCAATTTTGAACTCTGTGGGTCCCTGCACTCTGTGGGTACCTCCACATACAGACAGGCATACCTACAGGCAATTAAAATGTATCTTTAAAAATATGTATTCTCAGGGAAAGATAGTGGAGCACACCTTTAACCCCAGCACTCAGGAAAGAGACGCAGGCAGATCTCCGTGAGTTCAAGACCAACCTAGTCTAGAGAGTTCTAGAACAGCCAAGGCTACACAGAGAAACCCTGTTTTGAAAAACAAGTAAAATAAATAAATAAATAAATAACTTTTCTCTTGCTCAATGGTAAAAGCATCTATGAAGCAGTTCACCATGAATTCAATCCCCAGATTCCTCCACACGCGCTTGTGCTCACAACACACACGTGCACACAGACAACACACACGTGCACACAGACAACACACACGTGCACACAGACAACACACAAGTGCACACAGACAACACACAAGTGCACACAGACAACACACAAAGAGTAGAATAATAAGTCTTATCCTCTCTTATTTTTCAAGCATAAACATGAGCTACCATGAGCACTAATACCATTTCTTCAATGATTGTTTTGGGGGATTGGGTTCACTACAAAACCCTGACTGTCCTGGAACTCGCTAAGTAGACACCATCTTCCTGCTCTGCCTCCCAAGTGCTGAGATAACAGTCACGTGGCACTGTGCCTGGCTCATTCACAAAGTCTAAAGGAAAGAACTCTGAGCAGAGATAATGACGTTACCCACAGGAGACAGTGATACAGTGTCTGGTTCACAGACTGTAGTAAAGTCTCCCGAGGCTGAGACAGAAACATCCTTTGAGCTAAGAACTGGCCAGTCTATGCAACACAGCAAGGCTCTCCTAAGATGCCAACAACTTCAATGAACGCACAGATACTGATACACAGAGGATACAACCAAACACAACCATTTTTTATATATGGCTATAAATATTAATGAAGGCCATGATTATCTCCATGCTCACGAAAGCAAAGCTAATAAACTTAGCAGAGTAGAAAAGGAACTAGGCTAAGAAGAAATGGGTTCACTGGAAGAGGGAGACACAAAAAGCAATGGGGGATTAAATATAGTGAGAATACATTATATGTTCATATGTAATTGTCAAAAAATCATTTTTAGAATTTCAAGAGTTTAATTTTCAAAAGTTATGACAGAAATTCTAAACGGTCAGTTCAGCCCTGTGTCTATCCACCAGGAATCTCCCATGCAGAAGCATGCTTTATGTGTGTGGTCTGCTGAGATACCCAACGTGACAGACAGATGTCATACAGAATAGATATAGTAAAAGAGAGGCCGACCCACCTAGGTGAGGGAACAGGTCTGCGTCCAGCTGATGCTTTTGGGTGCACAGTTTCACCAGTCTCTGCAGTCGGCTTATACAGGACAAGTGTGGAGAGAAGGCGGTGGCTTTCATGAGGATTCGGTCAGTCCTGGGGACATCTGAGATGGGAGCCCGACTGGATGGAAGGAGGGGCAGAGGCCTCTTGTTAGAGGCCTGCCTTGTTTGTGCTATAGAGTGTGTGGTGGGGGCCACTCCCTGCATTGGTAGGCTGGTGTTCTGAGGTTGAGGTGACTTGCAGACTGAACCCTGCGATGGCGCTGGAGGCTTTACAGAAGTGGAGAGAGGTGACAAGTGGGCGTGCTGCTGTGGAGGTGCAGGAGGGGTGCTAAAGTGCTCTTGCCGAACTTTCAAAATCTCTGTCTCCCTCTGGCGCTGCCGGTTCTGAGCCAACTTGCTCTGCAACTTCTTTCTCACGGTCACCCCTTTCTTTAGGTCATCGTCTTCCTCATTGAAAGCAAAGGGATCTTCGAACTCAGTTTCCAGGTAGTGGAGAGGGACTCTTGACCCAGGTGGAGAGAGGGACATGCTATCCAGTCCATTGGGCATCTTCAAGGCCAGCGTAGGCACTGTCAGGCTAAACGCCATGGCATCCATCTGGTGCCTGACCTTCACCTCATCTACCGGATCATTCTTTTTCTTCCTCTCTTTTTTCGGGATAAAGCCAAGTACCTGCAAGTGGCTGTTGCAGTACCTGCAACAGTGGACATACGTGAGAGAATGCTCTTCATATACGTATATAAACACACATACCACAGAATCCAAACCCTAATATACACATATATAAACACACATACTACAGAATCCAAATCCTAATATATATAAACACACATACCACAGAATCCAAATCCTAATATACACATAAACACACACACTACAGAATCCAAATCCTAATATATATAAATACACATACCACAGAATCCAAACCCTAATATACACATATATAAACACACATACCACAGAATCCAAACCCTAATATATATAAACACACATATTACAGAATCCAAATCCTAATATATATAAACACACATACCACAGAATCCAAATCCTAATATACACATATATAAACACACACACTACAGAATCCAAATCCTAATATATATAAACACACATACTACAGAATCCAAATCCTAATATACACATATATAAACACACACACACTACAGAATCCAAATCCTAATATATATAAACACACATACTACAGAATCCAAACCCTAATATATATAAATACACATACCACAGAATCCAAATCCTAATATACACATATATAAACACACATACCACAGAATCCAAATCCTAATATACACATATATAAACACACATACTACAGAATCCAAACCCTAATATATATAAATACACATACCACAGAATCCAAACCCTAATATACACATATATAAACACACATACCACAGAATCCAAACCCTAATATATATAAACACACATTTTACAGAATCCAAATCCTAATATATATAAACACACATACCACAGAATCCAAATCCTAATATACACATATATAAACACACACACTACAGAATCCAAATCCTAATATATATAAACACACATACTACAGAATCCAAATCCTAATATACACATATATAAACACACACACTACAGAATCCAAATCCTAATATATATAAACACACATACTACAGAATCCAAACCCTAATATATATAAATACACATACCACAGAATCCAAATCCTAATATATATAAACACACATACTACAGAATCCAAACCCTAATATATATAAATACACATACCACAGAATCCAAACCCTAATATACACATATATAAACACACATACCACAGAATCCAAATCCTAATATACACATATATAAACACACATATCACAGAATCCAAATCCTAATATACACATATATAAACACACATACCACAGAATCCAAATCCTAATATACACATATATAAACACACATACTACAGAATCCAAACCCTAATATATATAAATACACATACCACAGAATCCAAACCCTAATATACACATATATAAACACACATACCACAGAATCCAAACCCTAATATATATAAACACACATTTTACAGAATCCAAATCCTAATATATATAAACACACATACCACAGAATCCAAATCCTAATATACACATATATAAACACACACACTACAGAATCCAAATCCTAATATATATAAACACACATACTACAGAATCCAAATCCTAATATACACATATATAAACACACACACTACAGAATCCAAATCCTAATATATATAAACACACATACTACAGAATCCAAACCCTAATATATATAAATACACATACCACAGAATCCAAATCCTAATATATATAAACACACATACTACAGAATCCAAACCCTAATATATATAAATACACATACCACAGAATCCAAACCCTAATATACACATATATAAACACACATACCACAGAATCCAAATCCTAATATACACATATATAAACACACATACCACAGAATCCAAATCCTAATATACACATATATAAACACACATACTACAGAATCCAAATCCTAATATATATAAACACACATACTACAGAATCCAAATCCTAATATACACATATATAAACACACATACTACAGAATCCAAACCCTAATATATATAAACACACATACCACAGAATCCAAATCCTAATATACACATATATAAACACACATACTACAGAATCCAAATCCTAATATACACATATATAAACACACATACCACAGAATCCAAACCCTAATATACACATATATAAACACACATACCACAGAATCCAAACCCTAATATACACATATATAAACACACATACTACAGAATCCAAATCCTAATATACACATATATAAACACACACACTACAGAATCCAAATCCTAATATACTACACATCAGATGGCCAGGCCAGGTGTGGTAGCACAGGCCTCTAATCCTAGCCCTTGGAAGGTGTAAGAGGATCAGGAGTTCAAAGCTAGTTTGTAGACCCTTGTTCTTAATCCCAGCACTCCAGAGGCAGAGGCGGGTGAATCTCTGAATTTGAGGCCTGGTCTACAGAGTGAGTTCCAGGGCAGCCAGGGCTACATAAAGAAACCCTGTCTTCAAAAATCAACAAAACAACAAAGTTCTAGCGAGAAATATGGTAGCACAGCCTGTAATACTAACACTTAGAAGAGTTAGGTAGGAGACCATAAGTTCAAAATTAGCTTGGGCCACACAGCAAGACACTAGCTCAAAAGATAAAATGGAAAAGGCAACTCTCATTCTTCTCCAGCTGTCTCCAACTGGGGTCCATGTCACTCTGATAACGCACAGTGTGGTCTGCTCGAGTGCAGAGGCCAGCAGACGGTGAGCAGCTGGACAGCTGTGCTCGTCTGTGTTCACAGCACACTAAGAGCTCATCCAAAGTCTGAAGATCACCTCAGAGTCTCTTGTGGAAAAAAACATTACATTCCAAAGCTACTTAAGTTCCTGAGTTACCAAGGTCATGTAACATAACCCTGATATGTGCCACCCACACTCACGCCCACCAAACATACACACACACACACACATCAAACACACACAGCACACTCACACCCACACCAAACACACTGAGTCACACACAGCACACACTCACACACAAACACACCCAGTCACACACATACACAGCACACTCACACCCAGAGTCACACGTACTCACACCCAGAGTCACACACCAAACACACCCACCCACACAGCACACTCACACTCATACACCAAACACACCCACACACTCACAAACACATACACATTGACACCACACACTGAGACACACCACACACACACACACACACACACACAAGGGAGCAGGGATGGCATGGTTAGTGGAATGAGCATTTCAGTAGGCAGAGATGTGAGAACACAGATTGCCCCCTGCAGCCCAGCTGAAGTAGGCACTGAAATAAAGCCCTTGATTCAGATTACTCCACTACATCTACAAAACTGAATCTGCCCACTTCCTCAGGGGAAACTGACCAAGCTGGGGTTTGAGATAAAATTAAAGCTCATGATGACTTCCCCAACGGGCAGACTACCTTTGTAACTTAGATACCATGAATGATACAGCCCTGTACATAATGAGAAAACATAGACCTGTTATACCAATTAACCATCCTGAAAATCTGTCAAGAGTCTGTGGAACAGAATATTCTCTAATCCATATTCTTCATGTTCCCACAGCACGTTAACAAGTGTGCCATCAAAATATACCCCACACTTAAGTCAATTTGGAAAATTATGGCTTAACCAAAGTGACATAGTAATTTTGTTGTTGCCTGCTTCTGCTGAAAAAATTCTCAAAGAATTATGGATAACAGCATGTAGCTCTAAGAGGGAGATACACCCTCCTGGAGTCTGTCAGTGTTCCCCAAAGCTATCTGAAGAAGGAACCTGTTACTGAAGCAAGCAAGTGACATCTCCACACAACACTGGGCAGACCCCACATATATTCTACGCTGAACAGAGCCCTAAGACTGGGCAGTAAGGGAAGCAGTGTTAGGAAAAACTAGTAACTAAGAAGTTAAGAAGAAGAATGAACAATACCAGGACTGGTGTACCAGCCTTTAATCCAAGCACTTGTGAGGGAGAGAGAGGCAAAAGGACCAGGAGTTCAGTCACTTTCCTCAATACAGGTAGTTCAAGCCCAGTCTGGGGGACTTGAACCACAGAATCAAAACCTAACAGTCAAAGAGGGAAACACAGTAGTCACACACTAACAAGTCCAGCTTCTCAGAATACCAAGGGAGGAGGACAACAAGTTCAAGGCCAGCCTGGGATATGTAGCAAGAATTTTATCTCAAAATAAAAAAGGGCTCAGTGATTAAGAGCACTAGCGATTCTTCCAGAGGACCCAGGTTCAGTTCCCAGCACCCACATGGCAGCTCTCAGCTGTTCTGTAACTCCAGTTCACAATGGTAAGGCAGGATTTTATATTCAGGAAGAAGGAGATGGCTAGCGGATAAGAGTGTTCACCACTCAGTCACGAGGGACAGGGTCCAGATCCAAACACCAACGCTGAGCAGCTCACAAACGCCTACCTCATCAATCAACCATTTCCCCAGGTAGAATGTCAAATCTGTGTTTGCGTATTTACTTTAAATGTTGTGCAGAACTAAACCTTCTAGTTCAGTCAGGAAAAATTTTGCCTCTTTAAGAGAAGCAGCTCAAGTCAGATGGTGGTGGCACACGCCTTTAATCCCAGCATTCAGAAGGCAGAGGCAGGGGGAATCTCTGTATGTTTGAGGACAGCCTGGTCTAGAGAGAGTTCCAGGACAGCCAGGACTACACGAGAGAAACCCTGTCTCAAAAGACAAAAACAAACAAACAAACAAAAAAAAGCAGGGCTCTCTTCTGATCTCGAAAAGGAAGCCAAGGAGGAGAGGTGCCATGAATGATAACCAAAACTGAACACTACAGCAACGCATTTACAGTGGCCCGAGTGACCCAGAGAGGGTTGGTATTGGATTCAGGGTGAGGGATCAGCCCTCAGTCCCCGAGAACCACGCACACATTAAGGAGCTCAGTGTTTTCTTTTTTTTTGGTATTTTTTTGAGACAGGGTTTCTCTGTGGTTTTGGAGCCTGTCCTGGAACTAGCTCTGTAGACCAGGCTGGTCTCGAACTCACAGAGATCCGCCTGCCTCTGCCTCCCGAGTGCTGGGATTAAAGGCGTGCGCCACCACCGCCCGGCCGTGTTTTCTTCCTTGCTGCGCTAAGCACCTGTTTTTTAATTTTAGGCTCTGTAATCTGAAATTCAAAAAGGGAACCCCAAATCGCCTCTCTATGAGCTCACTCTTGTGGACTCCCACTGAAAATAAAAAATACTCATGACAGCAGGCAGATCACTGTGAGTTCGAGGCCAGCCTGCTCCATAAATGCTAGTTCTGTAACAGGCTCCAAAGCTACAGAAACCCTATCCCGCAAAACCAAAAAAAAAAAAAAAAAAAAAAAAACTTATGACATAAGCAATGTACAGGTTTTTTTGGCCAGTTTATGCAGGTTAACATTTGTTTACTTTAAACAAGGACAACACATAAACACAGAGGGAGTGTATGTAAATTTTCTACCCTAACAAAGTATCTAAAACCGTGTTCCAAAATGATCACTGTGACCTGGAGAATGGAAAGAAGCAGGAAGGAACATAAGTGAAAGTATTTTTCCTAAGACTGTAAAAGATAATCAATTACAACCCATTTCTTAAAAATAGGACAATGTAGCCAGGCGGTGGTGGTGCACACCTTTAATCTCAGCACTTGAGAGCCAAAGGCAGGCAGATCTCTGAGTTCAAGGCCAGCCTGGTCTACAGAGTGAGTTCCAGAACAGCCAGGGTTACATAAAAAAACCCTGTCTAGAAAAAAATAGAATTAAACAAACAAAAAGCACAATGTAAAGTAGAGGAAAAAAATAGCACAGTGTTCTTAATAAATTCTCAAATTCTAGTGGCAAAAGTCTCCCCTTAAAGTGAAAATACAGTCAGCAAGGGGGGGGGGGGGGGGGGGGAGGGAGGTAGGGCATCTAGCTGAGTCCCAGAGAGCCAGAGGCTCTTGCAGTAGCAAAGGCCAACCCTGGGCACAGGGGTGCAGCTTTGGGAGTTGCAGTTATCTGTCCCCTCCCGGCCTGTCTTTCCTCAACTGTGGCGCTTTCCTAAGGAGCCAGTGTAATGATCTGTCCTGTCCCTTTAAGAGACAAGCCCGGGGGGGGGGGGGGGGGGGGGACGGGACGGGACACAATCCCTCCCTCCACCATCTGCTGAGGCAGGCAGATCTTCATTCCTGCTTGCAGGAGTCTCTCTCTTTTTCTGGCTCCCTCTCTATGAGGCAGCTTTGGTCCCACTTCTTCCCTTCCCTCCCTTCTGTTTCTCTCTGCTTCTCTCTCTCTCCTCTTCTCCCCTTTCATAACTCACTAAATCTCTCTCTCTCTCTCTCTCTCTCTCTCTCCTCTCCTCCCCTTCCATAGCCCACTAAATCTCTCTCTCTCCTCTTCTTCCCTTCCATAACCCATTAAATCTCTCTCTTTCTCCCCCTCTCTCCTCTTCTCCCCTTCCATAACCCACTAAGTAAATATCCAACCTCACTCTGCATGGTGTGCCTATCCATGTCTCTGTCTCTCACCCGCCACGTGGCTCCTTGCCCGGGAGACCTGCAGCATGGTCTCATGGCGTGCCCATCTGTCTGTCTCTCCTGGTGGGACTAGCTGCCCCATTGAGGTTTCTCACCTACCACGCGGCTTCCTACCTGGGACTCATGGCCTGCTGCAGCCATTCGGGCCTGGGACTGGCTGCTCTCGGGACCGCTGCCCACTGCGCCACTTAGGGACCTGCAGCGTTTCTGCCACTGCAGCCACTTGGAAATCTGCAGCATTTTTACTTTTACCATGACAGCCAGCCCGACCCTAAATGAAATGCTTTCCACTGTAGCTGATGCCAGTCCCTATGTCCCGCCTATGTGACCTAACATGGGTCTCCGCTTCCAGAAGGACCATTGCTTTTGGGGTGACTTCAGCATTGCCTCCTCAGCCAGATTCCCATCGTCATTCTGTAATAATGGTCTCAGGAATGGTATCCTGAAGCCAAATCCCTTCCTCCTATTCTAGTGCTACCTACCACTCTGGGGACCTCTCCATTGCCATAGCATAAGTAGGGGCAAGGAGAAGAAAACAATTGGGAATCTGTCCTCCACCGAGATAGAAAATAGTTCATTTGCTAAGACGCAAAGCAAACCAACCAAGACCCTTAATGGAAGGTGTAATAGGCCCTGCTCAGACTCAGTCCTTGACACACCCTGCTCCAGCAGTCTAGATGAGTGAGGTGAGGACAACAGAGACCACAGCTGTCCTAGTCCCTGCTCCATCACCAGAGCTGGCTTAGGCCTAGCCCATCATGAAGTCTGGTGGACTGATCACTCCTCCCTCAGGCTGCAGAACTACTGACCAATGCTTCTTAAAGTCTCTCTTGAACCCTAGGCTTAGCTCTGTGTGGTCAGTATCTGGGCCAAGAGGTTCCACACACTGTATGTGGCAAATTGTGAGGTGCATCTCCCCGAGACAGGGACCCAGAAGGACACCAGTGTCTTGGCAAGAGTCTGAAGAACAGGAAACGGTATCCTCCCGGGGCTGAGGGACTGACTTTTGGTGACAGAACGGTTTTCCCACACCCATGCAGGACGGGGCTACAAGCATCTGCAGCTGTGGAGCAATGGGCTAAAGTTCTCAGTGCTTAACTCTCAGTGTAAGCAACCACCTATGAGAGACATCTGCCACAGTAGACAGGGTCAGGCTAAAAATGAGACCCATCTCACCCCGCATCCATGACCAGATTCTCCAGTGACTAAATGGCTTCCCCGAGCCTCCAGAGTGTTTTGTTCTCTGACACTCTGTGGCATTATTTTGTGACATTTAAGATAATAAGGATTAGCTTTTTTCTGATTCTAAAAATAATTGTTGGGGACTGGAGAGATGGCTCAGTGGTTAAAAGCACTGACTCTTCTTCCAGAGGTCCTGAGTACAATTCCCAGTAACCACATGGTGGCTCACAACCATCTGTAATGAGATCTGGTGCGCTCTTCTGGGGTACAGGTATATATGCAGGCAGAATACTGTATACATAATACATAAATGAATATATCTTTTAAAAAAATAATTGTTAAAATTCAAAAATGCTAGAAAAATATAAAGAGGATAATTAAGTTATTTTTTTAAAAAGTGAAAATTCAATTTCATAAATATAATGCACATGGGACTCTTTAACCATAAAAGGCCACATTAGAAAACATTGTCAGTCATGACTTCTATTCTGTTATGGAGCAAATCTAATGAATGTTTCATTATTTTAAGTTCTTTCCAACTATTACATCTTTTATTACCTTTCATGCAGGCACTTTTCCCCAAAACCCTAATCAATACTGATGGTAGCACTTAGCCAGTTCCTACGCTGTGGCAGCCAGTGGGCAAAAAGGCCAGCAGTTCCTCAAGTGGCCACCCACCAAACAGAGCAGCACTTCAAGGGTTAGCAGCAGTTCTCGGAAGGGGGGAGAAAGACACTCTTAATGTCTAGAAGTCTATGAAATCAATAAAAGAAGAAAATACCCAGACATACTTTAAAAGACCCTTAAAATGTACTGCTCCGCTTAAAATAAATTGTTCTTTCTTACCCCCAGAAGTACTCCAAAGTTTCCTTGGACAGTCCCAGGACTCAACACTGAAATTTAACACACTGAAAAGAAACAGTATCAGAGAGACAAAATTCCAAGACTGTTAATGACCCACGCCCAGCTCCAAGGTGGTTCTTACCTACGATCCTCTGATTTGGGAATGGGGTTGGTACAGCGCTGGCTGTTATACTTGGCCACATATTCACATTGCTTGAAGGGGGCGGTCTTGTCTTCCAGAACGTGTCTGATACAGAAAGCGTAACCGTTGAGTCGCCGCTGCTTGCACAGTTTGGGGCTATATGAGCACAAGGGCTTATTGTCAACCTCAGAGAAGTGTATATGTTTCCCTTCATACATCACGTGACTCTATTCCTTGTGAACATCAGCTAAAAGGCCACCACAAAAAAGAAACCCAAATGATAAACAAATCAGAGACTGTAAAGCCGACTCAAGGAGAGAATTTCACTGAGGGACTTGTGGCCTCTCAGCCATACCTGATTTTAAATCTTCTGCACCACAGCAATATGAAGAGAGCCCAGGGGGACCACAGTTTGGAATGCTCTCAATCAAAAGGAAGCAGATTGTCTACAAAACATCAAAGGCCTCATTAACACAGAGATAAACAAAGTGAGCTCATCCAAAACATTAAATATGTGCCCGCCACCCTTCCTAAAGTGATGGAATGACTAGAATTTAATATTCCAAGTATGAGATCCAACAGGAACCAAATTATATTTACTCTGTGACTAGCTCAAAGTGGCTCCGAGTTAGAGCCTCTTCCACCAGCTAATGCCAGAGTCTGTCTATACCTGTAATTTCAGCACTTGAAGGTGGCAGAAGGACCCGGAGTTCCAGGTCATCCTCAGCTACACAGTAAATTTGAGTAAGTCTGGGCCACATAAGTGAGGAGAGGGTGGGCGATGGTAACACATCGCCTTTAATCCCAGCACTTGGGAAGCAGAGTTCTTTGTGAGTTCGAGGCCAGTCTGGTCTAGAGTGTGAGTTCTAGGATAGGCAGAACTGTTACACAGAGAAACCCTGTCCCAAAAATCCAAAAAAGTGAGGGGATGGGGGAAGGGGGTAGCTGGAGAAATGCCTCAGCAGTTAAGAGCAATAGCTGTTTTGCCAGAAAACCTGGGTTCAATTCCCAGCACCCAAAGGATGCTTACAGCCATCTCTAACTCCAGCCCCAGGTCTCTACAAGGCACCCATGTGGTGCACTGACATCCATGTAATCAAAATACCAAACACATAAAAGAAAGGAAAAATTTCAAAAATAGTTCTTTACGGGGGCTGGAGAGGTGGCTCAGTGGTTAAGAGCACTGCCTGCTCTTCCAAAGGTCCTGAGTTCAATTCCCAGCAACCACATGGTGGCTCACAACCATCTGTAATGAGGTCTGGTGTCCTCTTCTGGCCTGCATACATACACACAGACAGAATATAGTATACATAATAAATAAATAAATAAATAAATAAATAAATAAATATTTTAAAAAAAATAGTTCTTTACTACATTTTTTGCTACACTGACAAAATGTTTAGCAATTTGTTAAAAAATGTTTCTATGAAATACAAAACAGAGCTGTAACACACCTATAACCCCAGCATTTGGAAAGGTGAAGCAGGTGGTTTTCTTTGAGTTCAAGATCAGCCTGTTCTATATAGAGTTCTATGCCCTGAGTTCAGTCCTCCAGACCAACACAGTGAAAGGGAAAGAACTGACTCCTGCAAGTTCTCTTCTGATCTCCACACCTGTCCATGGCAAGTATGTATACAGAAGCAACAAACACAAAATAAAGAAATAAATGTAATAAAAATAAAAGAGAAGGAGGATGGAAGGTGGGGGAAGGCAGTAAGATATCTGGGGTGTGGGGGAGAGGTAAAGGCACCTGCTGCACAAGCCTGGCTACCCATGTTCCCTAAGTCAATCCAAAAGTAGGGGGAGAGAACCGACCTCCACATACATGCTATAGCATGCATGCCCACACGTACATCACATACACAATGATAAAAGTGAATAAAACTTCTAAGTCAGGCATGATGGTATTCACCTGTGAGCTCTCAGCTCTTGTGGAGTAGAGGCCAGAAGAACGGGAGTTCAAGACCAGCTTAGACTACATGAGAAACGGGTTAGGGAGTTGGCTCAGTGGTAGAGCACTGGCTACACAAGTATGAGGAAGATATCTAGAAGCCAGACAGATACAAGGTGAGTGTGACAACCTACAATTGGATGGCAGACAGGGCATCTCTGGGCAAGCTGGCTAGTGAGACCAGCAGTATAGGTGAGCTCTAGCTCAACTGAGAGTCTGCCCCAATATACAAGGTGGAGATCAACGGAGGAGGACACCTGACATCAGCCTAGCACATACACACACTACACATGCCCAAAAGAAAAAGTTAACACACACACACACGTACCTAAAATAGAACAAATTTTGCTTTTAAAAGATGTTATTTGGGGGCTGATAAGGTGACTCAGTGGACCAAATCTGACAATTTGAGTTCAGTCCCAAGAACCCACATGGTGGGAGGAGAAAACCAGGTCCTGAAAATGGTTCCCTGATCTTCACACCCACCATGGCACTCACACATGAACACACACATACACAATGGAACGCTACTTCCTTCTAATATTCTGTCTGCCAAACCTGTTCCATCCAAACCTCAATTTCTTGAGGCCAAGCATTAGTCAACCACATCTACACCATGCACTTCAGTGCTCAACAGTCAGTCAACAGTCACAAGCACCAACCACATCTACACCACGCACTTCAGTGCTCAACAGTCAGTCAATATCACAAGCACAACCACATCTACACCACGCACTTCAGTGCACAGTCAACAATCACAAGCACCAACCACATCTACACCACGCATTTCAGTGCTCAACAGTCAGTCAACAATCAGTCAACAGTCAGTCACAAGCACCAACCACATCTATACCACGCACTTCAGTGCTCAACAGTCAGTCAACAGTCACAAGCACCAACCACATCTACACCACGCACTTCAGTGCTCAACAGTCAGTCAACAATCAGTCAACAGTCAGTCACAAGCACCAACCACATCTACACCACGCACTTCACTGCTCAACAGTCAATCACAAGCACCCACAAAGACCCAATGTAACAACCTCATCGGGGGTAGCGTGCTAGCTGAGCTCTGGTTCAATCCCCAGCACTACATGAAAATAAGCATGGTGAGATAGGCTTGCAAACTCCAGGCCTTTGCCTAAAATCGCAGCACTCTGGAGATGGAAACGGAGAATCGGTAGTTCAAGGTTATGAGAGCCTACCTCAAAAGAAAAAAGAAACAAACAAGCTCCCAGGCTGCCAGAGCAGTTCAGTGACGGTCAAACAAATGTTCACCATGTGCAAGTCCAGGGTTAACTCCCCAGAAACAGGAAAAGAAGCTGGAGGGAAGAGAGAAGAGAGAACAAAGTGCGGGAGGGGCACACTAATGAACAGGAACTACACAGATGTCCGAGGCTCAAGTCCAAACTCTACCATGTACTACGCTATCTTGAACAAATCATTTCCACACATCTGTGAATCAGGGAAAACAGTAGCTATAATATCACTAGGTTCTAAGGACCCAAGGATCACATGGACTGAGCTTAGGACCATTGCTAGTACATGGTAAGCTCTGGAGAAACAGAAGTTATTCACAGATGCTAACTATACGGCATGTTACTGTCTTTTCTCCTGCCAGCGATAGTAAGAGATGCTATATGATCCTGGAGAAGAACATTCGTCACACAGAAGGATCAAATGCAGATTAAAAGTCCTATACAGTCTATAACAATGAAGTGGACCTATTTTGCAGAGTCAGGGTCTCAGACTTCACAAAGACAAAGAAAAGCCCAAAGTATTATTATAGTTAATAAAACTGTACACACTAATAGACATAACCACACACAAATACACAGCAAAAATAAGAGCTTTTTCTTTTCACCTTATTAGGGCAAAATGAAGAATTGAAGTAAAATATATTTAGTTGCCCCTAAAATGAGGATGCAGTCCAGGCAGAACAGGAATGATTGCCCAGGAAAAAGGCTGCGGAGTCAATCCCTAACAGAGTGAAAGAAAACAAATGGGGGAGGGGGGAGTCAATCAATCGGTCTCAGGGGCTGGCAGAAGTCAGATATGCTGCTGGTGCACAGCAGCACTCAGAAGGCAGAGGCAGAAGGGTCAGAAGTTGTTACAGGCTAGCCTGGCAGACAGAAGACTCTGCCCTAAAGGTCTGAGCACCTAAGACAGAACACATATGAAAACCGATCTTTGATGTTTACATTCTGTGCCACTCGTCCATCACTGGATCTTTGATGGAATTAATTCAAGTCTATCTGAAGATCTACTGTTGATGTTTTTTTAAGTTACCCTTGGGCTGAGATGGCTCGGTGGGCAGAGAATGAGCTCTTGCAAGGCGTCCTTGGGCATGCTCTGGCACCCACATCTGCGCAGTGGCACATGTGTTTCCACTCACAAACACACACACAATAAGTGTAATTTTTGTTTTAATTTTTAAAAAATATCTTGGGCTGGAGAGATGGCTCAGGGGTAAGAGCACTGGCTGCTTTTCCAGAGGTCCTGAGTTCCATTTCCAGCAACCACATGGTGGTTCACAACCTTCTATAATGAGATCTGGTGCCCTCTTCTATTGTGCAGGCATACATGTAGACAGAACACTGTATATATAGTAAATAAATAAATCTTTAAAAGAAAGTATCTTAGCTGGGCAGCAGTGATGCACACCTTTAATCCCAGCACTCAGGAGGCAGAGGCAGGTGGATCTCTGTGAGTTTGAGGTTAACCTTGTCTAAAAAGCTAGTTCCAAGATAGCCAGAGCTACACACAGAAATCCAACCTCAAAAATCCAATGTGTGAATACATATATATGTATGTATTATGTATCTTACATATAAGTTAGTTTTTTAAAAAAACTTATTTCCGGTTATCTCCATGGCCAACATGATGGTTCAGTGGATAAAGCACCTCCTACACAAATCTGAAGACCTGAGTTTAAATCCCCTAAAAAGCCAGATATACTGGGTGGTGGTGGCACACACCTTTAATTCCAGCACTCAGGAGGCAAAGTCAGGTGGATCTCTGTGAGTTTGAGGCCAGCCTGGTCTACAAGAGCTAGTTCCAGGACAGCCAGGACTGTTACAGAGAGCAACCCTGTCTCAAAAAACCAAAAAAATGAGAGGGGGGGGGTGAAGGGCGGGCCAGGTGCAGCACCACACATCTGTAATCCCAGCACTGATCAGGAGATGGGAGTGGAGAAGGAAACTCTGGGAGCATTCAACTCAGTTAGCCTGGCGAGCAGAGGGAAAGGAAACTAAAGAGGCCTTGTCTCAAACTAGGTAGAAGGTAAGGAGCTAAACCCCAGGTCTTCCTGTGGTCACACATGCACCTGAGTATGCATCTGCATGCACTCACGTGAGCATGTGCACACGAGCAGGCACATCTACACGCACACACGTACAGACAAGGACAAAATGAAAAGGCCTGAGCCACATACCCCATACCTTTTGGAAGCCCTTTTAAATCCAGTAGCACAAGGGTCAGAAGGCAGCGTCAGAT